TCTAAAGGATTTTTCTGCGCACCATTCTGGATTATTGCGTTCGCCAATTATGTTTTGTTCGATTAAAAAGACATCAACGTTTGAAAGTTTTTCGAGAAATACTTTTTGCGCTGTGACATATCAGGTATTTCAACTGCCTCGTTAGATACATCGTCGCGCGAGAACTTATATGATCCACAGATCGGAGCGCGCTCAGGCCAATGTCGACTCTATAAGCCTCCAGAAATTCTGCGGGAAAAGGTTATTATTTAGATGCTTTTTTTTACACACATCTCACATGTTTCACTCGATTTTGACATGCAACTATTTTTTTTGTTTAATTAAGAATTAATACTTTCATTGCGTTTGATACTAACGTCCTAAATTAGCAATACTAGTGGAACAGTAATCATGCAATAGATTTTTTTGGGAAAGTACAATTATTTTTATGTTTTAGCAGCAACGTGTTTTTTACATATTTTTAGTCACAATTTTGGTGGTTATTTTTTACTTTTATTTTTAGCAATAATAAATAGTCCAAACATGAAAAAAAAAAAATTAAAATTGGAAAATCTAAAATTTAGAAATCGAGAAATTGAACAATCCTATAATAGAAAAATCGAAACATCGAAAAACTGGAAAATCGAAAAATTAAAAAAAAATGGAAAATCAGAAATTTAATGAATTCCGAAAATTGAAAAACTGAAATATGCATAGAAAAACTGAAAACTCGAGAAATCGAAAAATCTGGAATTTTAAAAATTGAAAAATTAAAATATCGAAAAGTTGAAAAATTGCGCAATCGTATCATGGAAACATCGGACAATTGAGAATAGAAGGTTTATGCTACTAAAAAATTGATAACGTCATCTCAAAATTTTGCCGAATAAATTCTACTACAAATGTGCAAAATATGATGAGTTTTTACTTGTAATTTATCATTGCATTCATATTTTTCAGATTTGCTTATATACTTAGGTGGCTCAAAAAAATTAATGAATGAGCAGTGACTATGTATTTTTAACTCTATACTCACTGGAATGAGTCAATTTATTCTATTAATTAAATCAGGAACGACTCACTCCATTTTCCCAGAAATTTTGGGAATACTGTTATTTTTAGTCTAATCCACATTGATTTACGTGTCCTTGTAAAATGTTGATGATTTCATCAAAAAATTGTGTATCTAAAGTAAAAATTTAACTCGAAAATGCTGGATATGTTTCATTGTATTTTAGGTGCGAGGGAAGTTCTGTCGAAACAACTTTCCATCAATTTTTTTTGCTGTTATATTTGAACAGTTTATTTTATATATTTTTAAAACATTATAAAGAAAATAAAAAGTTGTGTTAGACTGAACCTTTTGGATTTCCGAATCTATTTGAAAATAAATAAGCTTATCTGGTGTTGTTTACCGATTTGCATTTTATGACGGACTCCCTACAGTGACCATAATATCTCGTGTTTTTGGGTCGGAACCTGCGATGGGTCGGTAGTTTGGGTTGCATAGTTACAAAAAATAATTCTTCTCACTGAAACCGATTTTGCGGGCGACGACTGGGGACCCTTAAGTACATACTTGTATATATGTATGTACCTAATCAATGTGGCATTTTTACTTCCCGAACGTGAGCTGAGGACGTATATTGTAATCGAGTCTATCGGGCAATTGATTATTTTCAGGTTTTTTTGGCGTTTCGTGACCTTCAGAGTACAAAAAATGTATAAAATTACATAGGCAAAAAACCTTTGGAAAAAATACAAAATTTTATGAAACCTTTTTGCAATGTCACAAATTTTTCAATTTTTGGATTTTACGATTTCTCGATTTTTTTAACTTTTATTTGTCAGTGTCTCGACTTTTCCATCTTTAATTGTTCCGACATTCCAGTTTTACGATTTTTCATTATTTCGATCCTTCAATTTTTCGATTTTTTAACTTTTTGGTTTTTAAATTTTCCGATTTTTTTTATTTTAGTTTTTTTTTTATTTCTGTATTAGTGTTTTCAAGATTTAAATTTTGGACCAATTTCTAGATTTTTCAATTTATCATGCCGTTTATGTAATGTTGCGATTTTTCAATTTCGAAAATCTTTTGATTTCTCGATTTTTTGACATTTCGATCTTTCGATTTTACGAGTCCTTAGTTTTCCATTTTTCTAACTATAAAATTTTTTGATTTTGGAATGTTTCAGTCTGATTCCATTTTTCGATGCTTAGTTTTTTTAATTTAAAATTTTTCAACTTTTTTGATTCATAATTTTTCGACTTTTCGCTTTTTGGATTGTGGACTGCTTTTATTTTTAATCAATCTTTGGACCATTTCTCGATTTTTCGATTTCCTAATTTTTAAACATATTAGTTTTGGGGTTTTTTGTGATTCTGCAATTTTTCGACTTGTCAATTTCTCGATTCCTCAATTCTTCAATTTTTCGAAATACATTTTTCCTGTTGGTTATCTGCATATTTTCATTCTGACCGCACTTGTATGGAGAAATCTTCTTTTTCTCGGTTTTTCAACTTTTCCCTTTTTCTATTTTCCCATGTCTCGATTTTTTCATCCAATTCAGCTTTTCCATGTTTCGAATTTTTAAATATTAACTTTTTCAATTTTTTTATTTTCATATTTTCGATTTTTGCTTTTCGGATTTTGGACTGTTTCGATTCTGTAATCATTTGACGATTCGATTTTTCGAATTTTCAGTTCCTGAAATCCCGATTTCTCGGTTATTTGACTTCCCGATGTTTCGATCTATTGATTTTTCAACTTTTCGATGTCTTAAGTTTTAATTTTTTCAATTATTTAAGTTTTAGATTCTTAGATTTCTCAATTTCTCAAATTTTTGATTTTTCAGTTTTTCAATTTTTCGATTTATTTTTATTTTAGGTTTCTCGATTTTACCGTTTTTGATGTTTTCATTTCTCAATTTTTCAATTTTTTAATTTCCCGGTTTTTCGATGTTGCGCCGTTTCCATTTCTCGACTTTCCATTTCCCGTCAATTTTTCTCTGGGTGTTTTCATTCCTAGATTTTTCAATTTTTCTATTTCCCAACTTTTCGACATCTCAGCTTTAGGATCTTTCAATTTCTCCATGAAGGTACCACCATGAATTTTTAAATTTTTTAAATTTTTTAATTTTTCGATTCTTCACGGTTTTGATTTCGCGGTCCTGTCGTCCAGATGGAGAATTCACGCATTCAATAATGTTTTTGAGTCATCCTGTATATGCAAATCCAAAAAATATAAATGGAATGATAAATCACAAGTATAGACTCATCATATTTTGTACATTTTAGGTAGGATATATTCGGCAAACTTTTGAGCTGATCTCATCAATTTTTTGGAGGGGATAGGTAAATATATTTTGATTAAAAATGTATCATGCTTATCATAACTGTAAACGATTTGCAAGATTTCAAAGCATTCTGTTTTGCAGGTTGAAAATTAAATTGCAAAATGTTATTTCATAATTTTGATTTTTTTCCGAAAATCTGGACGTTTCGGGTAAAAACAGACAGACAGACGGAAAAGGAAAACCTATTTCTTCGTACTGATACAACTGATTCAAAATTAAATCTCAAAATGTGGTTTTATTTCAATACTTCCATGATCTTTGATTCACAGGATAAAAATTTTATTAAAATAAACATGTTTGTAAAATCCAAAAAGAGAACACTTTAGAGTAAAAAATAATTTTACTTTTTGCTATTCAGGTATAGTTGGGTTTTGACATTCTGTATGTATATCAGTTGAGAAATTTTCACAAAATTCTGACAAGTTTTGGAATTATCCAATTATTAAAAACACCCGAGGATGTCCTTAGATGACTGAATAAGAAAAAACTGGAAATTTTAAAAATTAGTCGAAAGTTATTTCGAGAGGCACAATAAAATATATCCCCCTGAAACCGAGAAATGGCGAAATTGTAAAAATTGAAAAATCCAAATCCGAAAAGTCGAAAAATCGAAAGATAGAGAAATCGTAACATCAAAAATTTAAAAGTTAAAAAGATCGAATAATTTAAAAATTGAAAAACCGAGAAACCAAAAAATCTAAAATTTAAAATATGAAGAATCGAAAAAACCCAGGATTTGATACATCGAGAAACTGAAAAATTTAAAATCGAAAAATCTGAAATTTCAAAAATAAAAGATTGAAAAATCGGGAAATCGTAAAATCGAAAGTGGAAAATTAAAAAAATTGAAAAATTAGAAAATAGAAAAATCAAATATCGAGAAAATGAAGAATCAAAAAATTGCAAAATCCCAAAATAGCAGAGTGGAAAAACCAAAATTTTAAAAATCAAAAAATTGAAAAACTGAAGACTTGAAAAACTGAAAAATCGAAAAGTCGTGAAATCGAAAATTGGGAAAATCAAAAAATCGAAACATTCCAAAACTGAAACATTGAAAAAATAAAAAATCGGGAAACCAAAAGCTCGAGAAATAGAAACACAAAAAAGTCGAGAAATCAAAAAATGGGCAAATCAAAAAATCGAAAAGCCCAAAAATCGAAAAATTCCAAAACTGAAACATCGAAAAATTGAGAAATTGAAATGTTGAAAAATCGAAATTTAAATAGTCAAGAAACTGAAACATCGAAAAAAAATAAAAATTAAATAATTGAAGTATTGAACAACTTATAAATGCAAAATTGAGAAATCGGAACATCGAAATTGGAAAATCCTAATACTGAAAAACCGGAAAATCCAGGCACCTATTTCTGTATGAAATAGACACCTATGTTTCCTCTGAACAGAAAGTTGTCAGCCTGCCGTCGGATTGGCCCAATGTTCAGATTAAAGAAGTCATCTATACTCCAAACTATATCGAACCATGGATATCGTACACGTGATGGAAATAAGGCTCACTGTATTTGGTAATAATATTTTATTTAAAGAAAAATATGTACATCACCTTAAATAAACTGCAGAAGATAGGTATATCGGTAAAAGACTTTTTTTCTATTTTCAATAATAATAATAATAATAATAATACCCTTTATTTGTCCAACAAAGCAAAATCCAATTACAGGACAAACCAATTACTCAAAAAAGCAAAATATATACATGCATAAGAACAACTTAAGATCAAATTATAAACAACAATTTACAAATCAAAAATGTCTTCAAAAAATACACTGGCGGCTTTCGAAATACATGATTGAATAGGCTTAAACTGAATAAATTTAAATATCGATAAATTTTTAAGCGCGGTTTATATATATTTCGATTAAAAACATTATAAAAACAAACATTAACTATAACATGTAAAATTATTTTTGTTCCTAGTTTTGAAAGTACATTTTTCGCACTCCCAGAACTTTTATCAATTTCATCTAAACGTTGAAACTTTACTGCATGTTGCGCCACCTTATATTTTTGTTTGTTCGTTTTCTTTTAAATGGACAGTTGATGCACTCATACTTTTCCCATTCGAATGCTGGGTGCTCACATGCCTCTTTAAATTCGAACCATTTCTGGACTTGAATGGACACTGTTTGCATTCGTACCATTTCGCGTTCTGGTTGTTCACATGTCGTGCGTTAATGTGACTTTTCAAACTGCTTTTTGATTTGCTCTTGAAGGAACACTCACTGCAGTGGTGCCACACGATTTCGGCTTCGTCCAAATGCCACGCATTTATGTGTTTCTTTAGAGATGATCCATACTGGGTTTTGTATTGACACTTATCACAGTTGTACCATTTGATGCCGTGTCCGTCCAAATGTCGCACATTCACGTGTTTCCGTAAAAGCATCAAGTGTTTTGATTTAAATGGACACTCCTTGCACTGATACCACGTGATATCTTCCCCTCTTAAGTGCAGCGCATTCACGTGTTTCTGTAAACAGGTCTTATATTTGGTCTTAAATTGACACTCCTTGCACTGATACCACGTGATATCGTCCCCCCTCAAATGCTGCACATTCACGTGTTTCTGTAAACCATGCCTGTATTTGGTTTTAAATGGGCACTCTTCGCACTGATACCACGTGATTTCTTCCCCTCTCAAATGCAACATATTCACGTGGTTTTGCAAACTACACTTATATTTGGTTTTGAATTGACACTCCTTGCATTGATACCATATGATACTTTCCTCACTCAAATGCATTGTCTTCACGTGTCCATTTAAGTGCGAACTATCTTTAGTCTTGTATGGACAATGTTGGCATTCATACCACTTGCGGTCCTTTTCGGGCAAATGACGAGCTTTCACGTGTTTGGTTAGAGATCTGTAACATTTAGTTTTAAATGGGCACTGTTTGCATTCGTACCATTTCGCGTTCTGGTCGTCCAGATGACGTGCGTTAATGTGTACTCTCAAATTTCTTTTTACTTTGCTCCTGAAGGGACACTCATTGCACTGGTGCCACTTGATTTCGTCTTTGTCCAAGTGCCGTGCTTTTATGTGTTTGTTTAAATATATGTGAATTGGGGCTTTGTATTCGCACTTGTCACAGTTGTACCATTTGATGGGGTGTCCGTCCAAATGTCGCACAGTCACGTGGTTCCGTAAAAGATACCTATATTTGGTTTTAAATTGACACTCCTTGCACTGATACCACGTGATATTTTCCTCACTCGAATGGCGCGCCTTCACGTGGCTCTTAAAGTTCGAATGATCTCCAGTCTTGTATGGACAATGTTGGCATTCGTACAACTTGGCATCGTTTTCACATTGTCCGTTCAAACGCGACGCGTCCACGTGTTTCTGTAAAACCCCCTCGTGTTTTGTTTTAAATGAACACTTGTTGCACTGATACCAATTGACAATTTTCCCAATAAAATGCTGGTTTTTCAAGTGTTTTTTTAAGTTGGAACTGTATCTAGTCTTGTATGGACAAAGTTGGCATTCGTACCACTTGGCGTCCTTTTCATCCATATGACAAAAGTTCACGTGTCTCCTCAAATATATCATGCGTTTGCATCTAAATGAGCACTGCTCACATTCGTGCCATTTGACGTCAAGGTCGTCCACATGTCGTATGCTAAGGTGCTGTTTCAAATCAAATTTGTCTACGGACCTGTAAGGACACAAAGTGCAATGGTGCCACTTGTCAAGATGCTGCATTTTTACGTGCCTGTATAAAGATGTGCGATATTTGTTTTTGTATTCGCACTTTTCACATTTGTACCACTTGATGTCTTTTTCATCTACATGATGCCGCTGAATATGTTCTTTCCAATCTGATTTTTCTGTAGTTTTATAAGAACATCGCTTACACTCTTTCATGTGACGTAACCATGTTAGCAAAAAATGCGTCTCAAAGCCGCACTTTTCACAAACGTACATTTGATTGTTGTGTTGCACAATCAAATCGTCGTCGTTTTCTTGTTTAATTCCATGACGGTCTTTAATATGTTGCTTGAAAAGCAAGGTTAGTTCGGTTTGAAAATCGCAGTCTTTGCAATGGTAAGATTCAAGGGGGTTTTCACAGGTAAAAGATACCAAAGGTGACTGATGACGGCGAAGGTGGTTCATCATCAGGAAAAACGATGTTGTAACGTATGGGCAAATTTTACAATCGTGGACTTTTACCAGGGAAGACTTCTTGTGTGGCGTATAAGCGACGGAATATTTCAAAGCTTCCATTTCAACTAGTCTGAAATTGTTGCGTTATAGTTATGTTAAAAGATTATTATAAAAACGAACCTTGTATTACGTACCTGGAAATTAAATTAAAAACAATTTAAATTGTTTACGACCTAACCTCAAAATTTTGGTACTTTTTACTTTAATTTTTTGTCATGTTGGTGGTAAATTTGTTAAAGAGACACAGTATAGATATCAATCTGTAGAGACAGCTCGCCGTTTTTCGTGACCCGTTTTCGTGGGTGGTCGTTCGCATTATGACCGAATGAGGGCGCCAAACTGACGTCTAAAATATTTGAAATTTGGCAGTTTTTTTACAATATTTTTTCCGGTTTTGCTTGTTTAAGGCTGCTTTTCCGGTAGAATTGTACAAATAGTATAAAAATGTAATTTTCACAATAAAAGGTAAAATCTTTGTCCGATGAATTTTCATACAGGATCCCTGTTGTGCGCCCTATTCTCTCCATCGTGTTTGGAATTCTTGGAAAAGATAGTAAACATAACACACTTTTTGTTTAAAAAGTCGTCGCAAACGGACAACAACGGTAGTTATGAAGTAAAAAATAAAAATTTATTATGTATGATTCCGTTGTTGTGGTGAAATTAAATATAAAAATAATAAGAAACAAACTACACGTAACAAAAAATTATATAAGCAGACCTTCTCTCAATAAACAATTTTTTTATTCATCATGTCGCACTGTGAGAGCAATACTCACGTAACTCAAAACCAGCGTGTTTTGAGTAATGATGCTTTAAAATTCCCAAGTGTTTATATATTATTTGTATCTTAAATACCAAAGGCTTCGAAACACATTATAGTCGTATTGTCAATCTATTATTAATCGTGTTTTTATTCCTTTAGAGTAGACCCTTCTACTCGTTATAGAAAACAAGAAATTTTGACTTACGTGACTATTGCACTGCTACACCATATCAAATATTTTGGCTTGCGTGTTAATAAATTTAAGACAAGAGCAAACTAGCAGCACATTGTAATGAAAAAAATATAACAAAACACAAAACGATCACAGTATTAATTCATTCAACATCTACATTGACCGGCAAAAAAAACCGGCCACCCTGAAAAATTTCACAAAACCACTTTAAAACTTAATTTAACTAGTGATCGTTATTTTATTAAAGAATCATTCACTATTGACACATGATGTACAAATTAGCACAAAAAAAAAAGATAATTAAACGCAGAACTAAATTTAATTTAACAAAATAACAGAAACAGACCAAGTACGATATTTTCTTAAAAAAAAAACAATAAAGGAGGCTGTTGTTGTAAATAGTGTTTTTCATCATTTGATTATAAGTTTGGCAATTAATAAACGTTTTCACGCGAAAATAATTCCGTTAACTCTTACAGACGTCTTTCAAAGTGTCTCTCTGTTTCTGTTATTTTGTTAAATTAAATTTAATTCTGCGTTTAATTGGCTTCTTTTGTTTCCTAATTTATACCTTATATGTCAATAGTGAATGGTTCTTTAATAAAATAACGATCACTAGTTAAATTAATAATTTTTAAAGCTTCGTTCTGCGAAATTTTTCAGGGTGGCCGGTTTTTTTTTGCCGGTCAGTGTACTATGGCTGAATTGTTATAAAATGTGTTATAATTTTATTTAATTCGTTTTTTTATACATAATTGATTCAGTCCATCGTATTTTTTTACGTATTGCTAAAGGACTTTCATAAATATTGTTTAATCATTTTCATTTAAGTCTGATGCCGCCTTTGTCGTAATGTTCGGGCATTTATTGACTATTATTTGCTGATATACTTCCTTTCTATACGAAGTTACAAAACTCCATCGCAATTTTTGACAAATTTTAAATTTTTTAATTGGCTCTAATAAACTTTCCTACCTTTCCTATTCAAAGAAAAATTGATTTCCATGTTTTTGGTCAATTCTTAACTATATCAGAAGACATTGTGCATTTGTTGTGTTCAATTTGTACCTAAATTAGTAGGAGTATCAGATTATCAACATCGACTGAAATCTCATGGCTTCATAGCTTATGTGCATTTCACTTAGTTTTGAGATACGGCAGTCTTGCATTACCTGCACTTTATGTGAGCCGACAAATGTGAATTTTTTTTTGTAATAATTTTTTTTTTTATAAAAATTTTACTTTATATGATATTACGCTTACGGGTTAAGTTGTTAGGTAAAATGGGTTTGACTATATATTAACAAGACGCCTTTGCCAAGACGCACTAGAAAACTGTTTTGGATGGATTAGGAAACAAAATGGAAATTCTATTAACCCCACATCTAATCAATTTCAAATGGCTTTTAGAAAATTAATCATACAAGATTATTTTGATGAAACGAACACAGGTAATCAAAACTGCGAGCCTGATATGGAAAAATTTTTAAAGTCGTCGTTTTGATGAAGAAGAATCAGTCACCACGATGCAGAAGACCACCTTAAAAGATTGTGATTATCACTTTCACACAGCTGAACAAAACGCAATTAGATATATCTGGGGCTACCTAATTCGGAAATGTTTATTAGTACATAGTTGTAGTGAATGTGAAAAATATGCAAATGAACATAAAAGTTTAGACAACACAAGCATATATTCACATTTCAGAGCCTACCAAACGAAGAATTGCGAGTTATTTGGTAAATTATATATGCCAAACGATAATTTATTTTTTTTACATTTGTGAATTAGAGCAAATTTTTAGTGAAAATTTTGAAAATATAATTTTACAAACAACTACTTTGTTGAAATTTTTAAATTTATATAAGCAAGCTACATTTTGTTCATCCATGCCAAAACTTTCCATACGATTATTTGCTTGCTTTGTATGTTACGATGAGATTATTTTATGCACTAAAATTTGTAAATGCTAGCTTTAAATTTACAAATGCCAAAGGTAAAAAATTAATAGAAAGAAAATAATTTGGCAGCATTAACTTTTTTCCTTTTTGTAATTTAATTTTTATTTTATTTATTTTTTCTTAAATAAACCTCTTTCTTTTTAGATGAATTTATTACATCATTTTTACAATGGTAATTAAACCTCAAGTATTCGGGGAAAGAATGTGCGAATTGTCAAATTGTATAAGTAATAAAATTAAAACTGTATCAAATCATCGTGTTTATAAATTAAATATCGACTTTTCTTTTTTCTTATTGCGATTCACGATTATACGATTTGAGCAAACTACACAGTTTGCAATAAATTGCGTACACGAATCAATTTTTGAAATTGTAAATGAAGTGATACTTTTAAAATTGGGTGGCGACATCTAGGAATAGTTTAAGCAACGACCACCCATGACGGCTTAAAATTCGGGTCAGAAAGAACAAAGGCGCCGACACGAGCTGTCTCTACTGATTGATATCTATACTGTGGTTCTGTCATGTTGGTGGTAAATTTGTTAAAGAGACACAGATTACGTATCCGTAATCTGTGAAAGAGATGTAGATTATGCAACACGTTATACCCGCAATTGTCATTCGTTGTCATTCTACATTTTTCAAGCTTCCGTTTTTGTAATGTTGCTAATTTTCAATTTCGATTTTTTTTTTATTTCTAAATTTTTTGGCATTTCGATGTTTCGATTTTTCGAGTTCTTAGTTTTCCATTTTTCGAGTTTTAAATTTTTTATTTTTTTTTTTAATTTCTAGGTTTCATAATTTTTTGAAATTTCGATTTTTCGATTTATTTCAATTGTTCAATCCAATTCGATGTTTCGATTTTTTTTATTTACAATTTTACAACTTTTTAATTTCTAATTTTCCGACTTTTCGAATTTTTGATTTCTAGATTTTTCTTCGATATTTGATCTTGCGATTCCTCAATTCTTCAATTTTTTTAAAAACATTTATTGGTTATCTGCATATTTTCATTTTGACCGCATTTGTAGGAAAAATCCTCTATTTCTCGATTTTTCGATTTTCCCATGTCTCGATTTTTCAACTTTTCGATTTTTTTAATCCAATTCAGCTTCTCGATGTTTCGAATTTTTAAATTAAATTTTTCAATTTTTTTATTACATATTCAATTCGATTCTTCAACCTTTGATTATTCAATTTTTTGTATTTTCAATTTTCGATATCTCGATTTCTCGGTTTTTCGATGTATGTAGTGATTTTTCAATTTTTCCATGTCTTGAATTTCCAATCTTTATGGTTCAATCTCTGGTTGTTTTAATTTCTAGATTTTTCAATTTTTCGATTTCCGAAATTTTCGACATCTTAGTTTTGGGATTTTTCAATTTCTCCATGGAGGTAGAATCATCCTACCCCCATAAATTTCTCAATTTTTTTTTTAATTTTTCGATTTTGCACGGTTTTGATTTCTCTATTTTTCGATTTGTTTTTTCGGCTTTTAATTTTTTATATGTATTTTGAAATTTTAGTTTTTGCACGTTTTCAATTTTTAGACATTTCAGTTTTGAAATTAATCAATTTTGCGAAAAAATATTTTTCCGCACCTTTGGAATTTACGCTCCCGTGGCATTGGTTTTTACTTTACAGTGGTTAACAAAAACAAGAATCTCAAAAAAAAATTCTTCAAAAAATCGGAATTTGTTGGGCTGTTCAAAGGCGAGGGAACTTCTATCCAGATAACCTTTGCCCAACTTTTTATTTAAAATTTCGTTAATACGCAGTTTGGGTACCACCAAGTCATTTCTAATTTGAATTTAAATAAATAATAAAAAAAAATTAAATCATGTTTAATGATAATACATTTTTTACACACTTGTGTATTTATATAATGGGAACAGGTAGTTTTACGTGGATATTCGCCACAATCGTACACTTTTAACATCTCGAACTTTTAAATGAATCGCATTTATTTTATTAGTTTATAGTTTTGGGTTTTTGGCTTGATATTATGGCAGCCCTAACGGAAAGTGACCGAAATATATTTGTCAAAAATCCGCGGGAGAAATAAACAAAATTAAAACAAATATTGAAAAAACTTCGAACCGGAACACAAGTCAAATACCTACAATAAATTATATCAATAAACTATCAAAATTTCTGCACCGAAGATAATCCTCAAAACTATAAAAACAATTCATAATAAGAAAAGTTTAGAGCTTCACTTCCCGAGCGTAAGGGAAGAAAGTATGTATATTGTAATCGAGTTCGTCGGCCGACTCTCTACTTTTGCATTTTCTCGATCTATCATGATCCCTAGAGGACGAAGAAATAGGTCTCCCGTTTCCGTCTGTCTGTCTGCCGTCCCGGATTTATATTAGACAGATAATCTCCGAAAGTACTGGGCCTATTGTTGTCAAATTTTGTATTTATATTAGGTATATCATGTAGATGGCAAAACGCTAACCAAAATTTGTCTAATCATCCCTACCACTAATGTGATGACGTCACTACAAAATTGTACATAGTAAATGGGTTTTGAATTGTATCAAATAACATAGTCTTACACATGTAGTTTATGACTCCGAATTGAGATTTTACCCGAAACGTCCAGATTTTTGGAAAAAAATCAAAATTAGGAAACAACATTTTGATATTTAATTTGGAATCTGCAAAACCGAATGCTTTGAAATCTGGCAGATGGTTTACAGTTATGATAAGCATAATAAATTTTTATTGAAAATATATTTACTTATCCCCTCCAAAAAATTGATGACGTCACCTCAAAAGTTTGCCGAATAAATGCTATCTAAAATGTAGAAAATATGATGAGTCTGTACTTGTAATTTATCATTCCATTCATATTTTTTGGATTTGCATATACAGGATGACTCAAAAAAATTAATAAATGCGTAAATTTATTTTATTGATTTAATCAGGAACTACAAAACCAAATGCTTTGAAATCTTGGAGATGTTTTAAAGTTATCATAGGCATGGTAAATTCATCAAAATATATTTCCTTATCCTCCTCTAAAAAATAGATCACGCCACCCCAAAATTTTTCCGAATCCTATCTTAAATGTGCATTGTTCAAAGTGTGATGAGTCTATAATTGTGATTTATCACTGCATAAATATTTTTTAGATTTGCTTATATGTATATGGGGTGTGTGAAAAAAAAAAATGACTGAATCAATTTATTTTATTGATTAAATCAAGAATTGCGAAACTGAATACTTTGAAATCTTGACGTTTTGAAGTTATTGTAAGCATGGTAACTTTTTAATGAAAGTGTATCTGTTTATCAACCCCAAAAAATTGATTACGGCATCTCAAAATTTTGCCGAATAAATTCTTTCGCAAATGTGCAATAACAATTGCATTCATATTTTTTAGATTTGCTTAAACAGGTGACTCAAAAAAATTAATGAATCAGTCAATTTATTATTGATCAAATTAAGAACGAGCTATCCTATTTTCTGAAAAATGTGAGAATACGCTCGTCTTTATAACAATAAAATAATGATAAGGTAAGAATTATAATAATAACATTCAGAATATTTTGTTCAATGGAGGCTTTTGAATAATTTTAGTCATCTGTTTTGGGACGATAAACTCATTCAAATCAAACAAATGTCTACGTGATATTCTTCCAATGTAATGTATTCCCGTTAATAATATACTGTGTCCATACGCAGCGTATAAACTTCAACCGCCTAGCCCATTTTTTTAGTATTACATTACATCTATCCAAACTGATATACGGGTCCTTGTAAAAATGTTGATGACGTCATCGCAATTTTTTTTTAAATGCTCCGCTACAAAAATGTAATGAGAAAAAGAAATATAATAGGCATGCCGTCGTCACGTTTCCGACAGCGAGGAAAGTACTGTCTAAACTCTTTAGGCCAATTTTTTTATAATTATCTCCAAATTAAAGCCGCACTTTAATTCAGGTAGGTCTGTAAATTTAGTTTTCAGGTTGTTTAATGCAGCATTATAATTATTATATTAAAATATAGAGGTTGTACAACACATTTTTTTAAATACATAAAAAATTATAACAATAAAAATTAAAAACATTAGCGATTATATTGAAATTCCAATAATTCTACTCTCCGCGTGACGTCACTGCGCGAACTGGTCTAACTTGAGCCGCACGAGCACGCACGAGTATCATACAATTTCATTTAAGCGTTGCGTCACCTTATATTTTTGTTTGTTCGTTTTGTTTTAAATGGACACATACTTTTCCCATTCGAATGATGGGTTCTCGCTCTCTCTGTCTTTGTTCGCTTGATTAAAGATTTGTAACATTTAGCCTTAAATGGGCACTGTTTGTATTCGTACCATTTCGCGTTCTGATCGTTCAGATGTCGTGTATTAATGTGACTTTTCAAACTGCCTTTTGTTTTTTCCTCAAGGGACACTCATTGCACTGGTGCCACTTGATTTCGTCTGCGATCAAATAGCGTGCATTTATGTGTTTGTTTCTTTAAAGATGAGCGATACAGGGCTTTGTATTGTCACTTGTCACAATCGTTTCATTTGATACCGTGTCCGCATTCTTATGTTGCACAATCATGTGTTGCCGTAAAAGCTTCAATTCTGTTGATTTAAATGGACACTCCCCGCACTTATACAACGTGATAGCTTTCCCTTTCAAACGGTGCATATTCGCGTGGTTCCGTAAACTATACATGTGTTTGGTTTTAAATTCACACTCCCCGCACTTATACCACGTGATATTTTCCTCACACAAATGCCTCACGTGGTCCTTAAAGTTCAAATAATCTCTAGTCACGTATGGACAATGTTGGCATTTGTACAACTTGGCATCCTTGTCACATTGTCCGTTCAAACGCGACGCGTCCACGTGTGTCTGTAGAATATCCTGATATTTTGTTTTAAAAGAACACTTGTTGCACTGATACCACGTGATAGTGTTCAGATGAAAATGCTGGCTTTTCACGTGTTTCTTTATGTTCGAATTCTTTATAGTCTTGTATGGACAATGTAGGCATTTGTACCACTTGGCGTCCTTTTCATATTGTTCACAATCGTACCAATTCATATCGAATTCGATCGAACGCGACGCGTCCACGTGTTTCTGTAAAAGCCGCTCGCGTTTTGTTTTAAATGAACACCTGTTGCATTGATACCACGTGATACTTTCCCCATTAAAATGCTTACTTTTCACGTGTTTCGTTAAGTTCGAACTACCTCTACTCTTGTACGGACAATGCTGGCATTTGTACCACTTGGCGTCCTTGTCATATTGTTCACACGCGTACCAATTCATGTCGTGTTTATTCGAACGCGACGCCTCCACGTGTTTCTGTAAAATCCGCTCGCGTTTTGTTTTAAATGAACACTTGTTGCACTGATACCACGTGATACTTTTCTCATTAAAATGCTTGCTTCTCACGTGTCTCGTTAAGTTCGAACAACATTTAGTCTTGTACGGACAATGCTGGCATTCGTACCACTTGGCGTCCTTTTCGCCCAAATGCAAAACGTTCACGTGTCTCTTCAAATATGTCTTGTGTTTAGTTCTATATGAGCAATGTGTACATTCATACCATTTAGCATCAAGGTCGTCCACATGTCGTAAGTTAATGTGTTTTTTCAAATTGGCTTTATATATTGTCTTGTAAGCACACACAGTGCATTGGTGCCACTTGTCTACATGCCGCATTCTTATGTCTCTGTCTAAAGATGTGCGATATTTGTTTTTGTCTTCACACTTTTCACACTTGTAGGTGATGTCTTTTTCATCTCCACGATGCCGCTGAATATGCTGTTTCAAATTTGGGTGTTCTTTAGTTTTACAAGCACATTGCTGACACTCTCTCATGTGACGTAACCATGTTAGCAAAAAATGCGTCTCAAAGCCACACTTTCCACAAACGTACTTTTGATTGTTGTGTTGCACAATCAAATTGTCGTCGTTTTTTTGTTTAATTCCGTGGCGATCTTTAATATGTTGCTTGAAAAGCAAGGTTAGTTCGGTTTGAAAATTGCAGTCTTTGCAATGGTAAGAATCAAGCGGGTTGTCACAGGTAAAAGATACCAAGGGTGATTGATGACGCTGAAGGTGGTTCCTCATCAGAAAAAACGATGTTGTAACGTATGGACAAATTTTACAATCGTGGACTTTTACCAGAGAAGACTTCTTGTGTGCCGTGCAAGCGACGGAATATTTCAAAGCTTCCATTTCCACTAGTCTGAAAGTGTTGCGTTATAGTTACGTTAAAAGATTATTATAAAAACGAACTTTGTACTACGTACCTGGAAATTAAATTAAAAACAATTCAAATTGTTTTTGACATAACCTCAAAATGTTGGTACTTTTTACTTTAGTTTTGTCATGTTGGTGGTAAATTTCATAAAGTGGTGTAGATAGAGTGCCAAGCAGAACGAAAGGTGACATGGGCGGAGCTTCAGATGCGCGCCTATTAAAGTCCCTAGATAACCAAAGTAACGCAATTGAATGTTTCAATGTGTTAGAGAGAGAACGTGTATTTCGGACACAATATGGCGACCGATAAACGTCAAAGTTAATTGTGAAACTCTCTTTAACGCATCACTTCGTGGCGTAAGTCCTGTTTTGTAAAGTTGTTTGTGTTTTTTGTAAAGTTGTTTGTGTTTTTTTGTGGTGTTTTATGACTTTTATTTTAAAATGCCAAGTTGTTGTGTTCCTTTGTGTGGAAATAAAAGCCGATTGTTTCGTCTTCCAACAGGTAGGTTACAATTGAGTTTTCAATTGAGTTTTTTCAACTAATTTAAATTGTTGCAGGTGTTAGTAATAGGGCTAGAAGAGAGATGTGGGAGAATTTAATAGGCCGGGACGATTTGAACGACAACTCCAGAATTTGCGAAGTAATTTGTTTAAAGCTTGAATATGTAATTGCACAATGTTAAATATATTTACTTTTAGTTACATTTTTCTGAATAACAATTCGAAGCAAAGCGAGCAGATGGAAGGAAACTATTGCGGCCGAATGCTGTTCCAGATGTATTAAATAAAAATGTTGGTGCTTGTGTTTCAATGGACGACTGTACTCCTTTGACAACTGATAGGGAAAATGAAATTTTTGAACTTGAAAGCTGTAGCAACAATGAAAATGTAAATGTTGGTTGTTTCCCTGAAGTGGACCCGTTATTGGGCCCAAACCAACATAGTGGAAAAATCTCAAACGTTGATCGAAAATTTACGTAACGCTTTGAGAAAAGCTTTACGGGAGCGCAATAAATATAAAAAGGCACTGGAAAGTTGTGTCAATAATTTACAAGGGACATTAAACGAGGATCAAATTCAATTTATTCAAACTGGCACTGCCAGAGGTCAACTATGGTCAGAAGATACAATGACAAAAGCACTGAAATTGTATTTAGCTTGTGGCGCGAAGGGTTATGAAGAAATACGACGGCAGAAATTGCCATATCCGAGTATTAGGACCATACAACAACGTCTTCAAGAAATCAAGTTTGGAGCAAGTCTGTTGGAAGATATATTTGTTCTTCTAGAAAATAAGGTGTGGTATCAGTCATAGTTTTTGAGTTTTTGGTATATAGATTAGTGCATAGTGGGATGGTAGTAACTAATTAATTATTTATTTGTTGTAGATATTGAAGTTCAATCAACACGAAAAGCAATGTGTGCTACTAGTTGACGAAATGGCGATGTAAATTAATTTTATTATTGTATTAATAAACTGGTATTGCAAGGTTTCTCATCTATATTTTTTACTGACCCCTTATGTTTATCAATGGCATTTAAGTGCATTGAACAAATAACGCTTAAACATAAATAAATGTTTATTTGAAAAAAATCTAAATTTACGTTTTGTACGCAAGTATTGAGTCCGTTAATTTTTATTTATTTATTTTGAATTTGGCGCGGACACAATATGGCGCTCAATTGCGGTACTTTATCTATCAAGGGACTTTAGCGCCTATCTCTTACCAGTGGCGTAACTGATTTATCATAAAATGTAATTAAAGTAATAAATGCTCTGAGGACCCTATTAAACAAAATTCTTCTTGCTGATAAATACAAAGTGACAAAATAAATAATATTAACTTCAAAAAATAGGAGACACAAAACGTTGGCAACAGACATACGAAGACGGTACCACAGTATATCAGTAACAAAACTTCAGCAATATTTGCGGAACGGGTGTGACCTTGGGAGCCCGTTACTGGGAAACACGAAGATTCAAATATTTCGTAGCATTCGTATAATACTAATAATTATGCACAAAAATAAAAATGGTTGGTATGTCCTAGTGACATTGGCCATTTTTTTCTTTCTTGTAAATTATTAATATACGGTTGCCGCCAAAAAATTTCAGACGTCAATGTCATTCAGTCGTCAGATAGTGTAAAGCAACCTTTAGATGTTTAGGTATTTTTGGGTATTTTGCTTAGATCATATAATAAATAGATACCACCATGCCGTGTTCTTTCCCTAGGACAGCCTGTGACGACATCCTCCTGTCACACATCTCTCTCGTGCATGGAGGGATTACAATGAAGCTATCCTTGCCTGATCACTATTTGAATTTTGCGCGCCTAAATTTTAGGAAGTATGTCGGAACTAACTTCGGAAGAAAGATGTTGACAGCTTGATTTTATAAATAATTCACAGTAGATAACGAAAGTAATAGTAAATTATTGGGCAGCAATTGTGATCCTTTATGACTATATCACTTAAAATAGGATCTTTGTTCTAAATTCTAAAATTGTTTTTTGTACAACAACTCGAAAGAGAGGTTAGAAGAAACATCTGTCAAAAGCGATTTGTTGCGCTGGTGCGGTACAAGGTACAAGGATGGAAGTGAAATAGACATATACAGATGAAATGCATAAAACAAAGATGAAGATGTGGTGATCACACAAGGACAGCATTATACTACTCCCCTGGATGTAGAAAACGACAACAGATAGCTTCATGTCTAGTCACACCTTTCAGTCTGAGTATTGGTATCTATTTATTATACATATTACATATGATCTAAGGTATTTTGAAAGTTTGACATTCCAGCTGTCCGAAATAATGACAATAAAGCATAGGCTACATCTAGGTTTGTACACTAATGGCTTGGGATGGCGACGCTTTTTTTCGATCCCTATATCCATGGAAAGGACACAGACAGCTAGCGCCTCTACCTTGTCGAGCGGAAATCGTTCTAGTTATTTTAGGGATTTTCGTTTACATTGCTTTATGAACAATACAAAATTTGTAAATGACATTTGATCGGAGTCGATAAATACGATTTCTTTTATTAATTACATCGGTTCTAGACAGATGCCTATAGAGTTCTGTGTCCCTAAAACGTCAAAAACCAGGCGACGCGATCGGCAATTGGCGTCGCTGACCAGGGATATGCAAATGTATAGTCAGGATCACGAAGCAATGCGTACACGTCACGGACTCTGTATGACGTCATGCGTCTACTACGTTTATCATACAAATGAATCGGTTTGAAAACTGTCAACAAACATGTCGGCTTGTTATTGTTTTGGTTTGTTCTATTTATGATTATAGCATGAGAAGACCGTTAGTGTGAAGCAACAGTTTAGAAATAAGCTACACTTGCAGTGTTTCAGCATACAAGGGCATGCTGCAGGCTGCATAGACGCTATGAATTACAAACTCAGGCACAGGAAAGATCACGACTGTAACCCCTTTCACGTGTTCCTAGTCACTGAAGCCTGCCACTCACGTTCCAACGCCGCGGTACAATTGTGTAGGATATGACAAAATTGAAGTGTTTTCGAACATCTGTGTATGCGATCAAGCAAATCGGTTGGATGTGGATGGTTGGTGAACAAGTCTGTCTGCAGCAGTACAATCGTGTTGTATTGGTTGGAAACTTAATCGTGTGGGGACAGTGTATGTTATACAAACCGTGAAAGCAGGTATAAAAGTCCATTTTCTTCGGACATGTTGCCACCACGATCGCAAATTTTTAACTGCAAGGTCGTAACGTGTGTGTACTGCTGCTTTTCAGCAGAATTGTACAGCAGTTGTATCCAATACAATCGTACCCCGGCGTTGGAACGTGAATGACTGGCTTTAAGAACGTTCATTTTTGCATTGACTGCTGGTAAAAACTGCTGACAATTGGGTGTTAAACACATACTTGGAGGGTGGTACAAGGCTTCATACTGTACTTAAAGCTACCAACGAGAATGTTAACATACGTCTCAAACAGACAGCATTGAACAGTTGTGACAGGCTTCAAGTTAGAGAAATATGCTTACCGTCTTCAATGCCACAATAGGCACGTCACATCTACAGAATAAGTTACTTTATTGACATGGAATAGATACAAAAGTAAAGTATAAACAATAATAAGTATGCATGTTGCACAACGTCGTCGTCTGACCAGTGATTTGTATATTTGGCCAGTGAAGTGATAGTGTGATTATAAAAGACATCAGCAGAACATGCCGCTAGTACAATCAATTAGGATGGTAATGGAAAATAACCTACATGTTACAGTGGCTGAATGCCCTCTGCAGTATTAGAATCTTCACTGTCATAATCACTAAAACTATAATGTGAATCTTCGTTAATGTCGATTATAAACGGCGCAATCTCTTCACGGTCAAATACTAATTCCCGTTCCCACCACTCCCGTATTATTTTATTCATATGGTCAACAGTATTTTTCCACATTGTGGGTGTGACATGTGCTAACGCTTCTTTCCACATTTCCACGGAATTTTTTGACCATAACCATCACGCCCAATGTGTTTGGAATAAAAATTTGTAGTAATTCCCCAAATATTTTCTATAGGGTTAAACACACAATGATATGGCGGCAATCGCAATACTCTATGGCCATTCTGTTGGCCCAATTCACGGCAACATACGTTTTTGGAGGTTTATTTCTGAAAAACATGATATTTTAAATGAAACGATAGAGAATAGTATATGCATTACTGTGCAACCAAATGAAGAAGTTCCGTTTTTAACAGCTGTGAATCTGAACTTATGTCATGTTGTTAAAGCCATTCACGAATTTCTGCTTTTTTCCATGAACCACTGGGACATTTGTTTGCAAAGGTACTGTGGTAGCTTGCATTGTCTATAATAATCTGTGATGGTTCTTCAAGGTTCATGAGCAATTGAAAGCACTTGAGAAAATTCTGTTGATTCATTTCGCCATGATAGTCTGGATTTTTGGTATTAGAAGAAAATACTAGCGCTGCTTCATCAATAAATCCATTGCTTGTACCTGCATGTAATACAATATACCTAAAATATAGTGAGAAGAATAAATAACCAACGTGAAACTGACACATTACTAAATTTTCCCTTCTATTTTGAACATCCTGATACTTATGACACTATCGTCTTGCAATGACCTAACTACCGAACCATTTTCAAATATCCATGTTTCATCAAGACATACACATGGCAAAGAATTTGGGTTCTGCTGATTGTGCATGTATTCACGTAAGAATTTGGTTCTTGCATGAACAACATGTTGTAATTCCATAAGACGCTTCCGTACACTGGTTGGCGAATAACGAAACCCAATTGAGAATGTAAAATTTTTCTTAACGAGCTCACAGAACCCTCAAATATATGTTTCTCCTTCAAGCAATCAATTAATGGCGATCGTGTAACATGTATTTCTGTAAAATAGTCGTTAGTATCTATAAGGCGTGCGCATCAAATTCATACTTTCTTCGACCATTCCATATAAGCATTCTCGAATAGCACACTGCTCCGAAGTGCTAATATCACACACTTGCTTTGTTCGGGGGTCTCTATTTCTTGGGAGAATGTACACCTTCTCCGGTTTTTATTTGTTGTACCACGGAGTTCACTGTTCGCACACATACACCCAGAGCAGCAGCAACCCTCTGTACAATGTGACTGCATTAGTAATTGTAATAAAATACACCTACTTACGTCTTGAACAGCTGTTAGTGGTAAAAGAGGTTCCCCGCTATCGCGTTCTTTAGCAAAATAGTCCACTAAATTATCGTCCATTTGCTTTACATCTTTGTGCAAGGGCTTCGGCATGGTGGAATGTTTACGTTCAAGCAAGCGACACGTACCACGGTACAGGACAGTTAACTTGGAGTTCTATAAAGAACTGTTATAGTTCTGAAAAGAACTGATAAGATTACACGAGCAGAAAAGTAGAAAAACGCGAAAAATCAAACAATAACACAACATAACCAAAGTTGACACCAATGACACTTGTGAAATCGATAAAACTTTAGCATATGTTTCGCTATCAGTCGTACCAATATAATTTCCCCCAAATTGATCGATTTTGATCCGTATTGCCACGTATTGCGGCGCGTATTTTTGATTTAGTGTTGGTAACGGATCTACGTCATCCATGACGTGTACGCATTGCTTCGTGATCCTGAGTATATGCTAGTGTTTAGTGTATCAACCTATCTATTCTACAGGGTCATTATAAAATATTGTAGTCGAAGAAGGCCATGATTTTAGTGACATTTTGTGCCGCCTTTTTCAGTTTTGTGGAAAGGATTACACTAATATTGGAATTTTTATTTTTAGCGCCACATTAGTTGACATTAGCGGCTGCACTGTTTCAACGCTTCATCAAATTCTGTCAGATGTCAATAATTTTTTCGTTTGTACTGGTACGTTTTCCCTCACTTTGTGCGTTAATTGACTTGTCTTGTTTTCATTTTTGCTGTCTTCCCCTTTGTTAGACCTTTAATAAGTGTCTCAAAAAACAGTTTTTATCAAAACTACAGATCATTGTGGAATAATCTCAGGTAATGAACAGAGAGGAATAACTATGGTCAGTGTTACAAATGATTTTTTTAGTTCTTTGGCGCAATCATCATGCCTATTACCGTAATGGGGTGTTAAATGAGGATGGGGATGGAGTGTACTCTGTGGAGGCGTCTAAAAACGAGTATCTAGTGAAATGTTCTGTTGTCATTGATGAAGAATCTTTGAAGACGCTATATGGCGAATTATGGCCAGATTTAACGACACTGGTAGCATTTCTAAGTGAAAACCGACGGGGAGACCTCAAGTTAGTGAAGACGTTGTTGAAGATTGGATAAGGATGAGAATGGAACAAAGTCCGAATAAAGCTTTGTCAAAAATCTTTACTGTCCGGAGTACCATACCGCCCATGTCAGAAAATCGTAAAAGAGAAGTTACATATGCATCCATACAAGATTTTGTTGGTTCAGGAGCTGCAACCAGCTGATTTTCCTTGCCGCGTTGGGTAGTGTAGTTGGTTTCAAGCTGATATGGACGATAACGGGATTCTCGATTTGTCGTTCTTTTCTGATGAAGCCTGGTTTCATCTGTTAGGCTATTATGTCAACTGACAGAACTTCAGAATTTGGTGTATAGAAAATACTCACGCTTTTGAAGAAACACCATCACACGCAATGAAGGTTGGTGTGTGGTTAGCAGACGACGATTCATAGGCCTGATACTTTTTCAAGTAAATGAATGTGATCAATAAACAAAATTAGATGTAGAAAGTGTATGTAGGTACTGCAATAAAGTTTTTTATTTTCAGTAACTTTCATTTTTCTTTCGGTGTTAGTTGCATTCTCTTAATTTAAAACTTACTTCAACTTACTGTTTAGTAATAATTGTAATTTTACTATTAGGAAAGTTAAAAATCTTTATTAAACATTCTGTTGTTTCAAGAGATCTCATAATCAGCTACAGAACTCTTAACACTATGCTCCTGAAATTTTATTGGTTTTTTCATCTTTTTTCTTATAGAAATTTTGAAAAATCTTGATATTAGGATGGCCATGTGGGCGTGTTTTGGGTAGAACCTCTTTGACATTCCTGTTATGCAGATCTGGCATGTTTCAGATATCTAGAAACTGCAAAGCTGAAGGTAATGTTTGGACATAGCAGTTTTCACCTATTGTAGGGATGAAGATCAAGGATTTCAGTTGTGTTTTTTCAAGAGAAAAGCACCGGTCACAAACCATGTCTGCACCAATATTCTGACGATTCCTTACAATTTACAAACAGAACTTTCGCGGGATCACAACTTTGGCAAAATTATTTACTGCAAAAACTCATTAGGTACTCATAGTGTTCGTTAACTGTGATAAGACTTGCTCTGCCATTGTCCATTACGTGATTTTTCACAATTTTTACCTTCAGGGTACCTATAAAAATGTAATTTTTTAAATAATTACCGTGTTCATTGGTTTCGACAAACTTAACCTCACTTTTTGGATTTCATTATTTGAAAAATTATTGCTTCTTTGCAAAACAGACCAGATGATTTATTCTGTTCAACTCCAATCGACTTTCCAAGGTGTAATTCATGACAAAGCCCTTAAACGTTTTTCTGACAATTTACAATTTTTGAAACTGAAATGTATTGCAGTGGCGTTCACAAATGCCCGATAACACTGCAACCCTTAATGCTCTGGCCTGGCGTCTTTTCGTGTCTATTTATTAAAATGAAATTAAACCGCGAACCGGGCATTTCAATTTTTGACACATCTGACAGATTTGTTTGGACGTTCGTGACATTTCAAAACAGTTCAAATCATTTTGGTGATTAGCGGCACGAGAAAAATTTCATTTGTTTTTCATAGGTGAGTTGACTACAATATTTTATAATGACTCTGTACAACCGTGACCGTGGGCTACATTTAAATTTTTGACATGACAGAAAAGTAATGTTTGACATTTTTTGTCGGAAACTGTATTCAATATTCAAGCAAAACATTTTTATTCAATTTTGACGTTTTAAACTGCGTTTATTAAATCCTTAACAAGTCTGACAAATAAGTTGTTATCCACAAGTGAATTGCAAAATTTTTAATTCACTCTTAATATTTTTAAATCACTCACAAAAAAATAAAAAACAACTTCAGAAATATAAACATTTTGCGTATTATTTTTAATCGTTTTCACAGAATTCAATTTGTTTACAATTTTCACTAAAAGGTTGCTGCAACTAAATAAGTATTGTTTGACATATTTGTTTGGCTCTGTGAGTCGTCAATTTGGGAACTGTATAAATCCCACACCAATACAATTCCAAAGAGCGTTTCGGAAACTATTTACTACAGATTATTTCGATACAAGTGCAAGAACCAACTGTGAAACACTATTTTATTTGAAATGAAAAATTTGCCAAGGTGTTCTTTTAAACAAACTTCCACAACACATCTTCCCTGTATTCTGGCCTCTTCAACAATCATTAAGTGATGTGAATTACCAGAAACAACTCACCTTGAAACAATAAAACTGTTTACAGTATGTGGATACTTAATACGAAAATTCTTACACCACCACTTCTGCGAAGTTTGTGTGAACTTTGTACATTCTTACGAGGTGGTACACCCTGTTTTAATTGTGTGCCATTTTAAAGTCTTCAATGAAGATGTGATTTTTGGCGATTTAATGATGCTACCTGAACATTTTGCAATTTATACTCCGGTAATGGGTAAGACATTTTGAGTTTTTCCCAATTTATGCACTGCAGTTGTTAACTGGTTTGCGGCTAAAAAACTTACCATAAAAAAATAACATTCCACCACCCCTGCAAAGACTTTCCTCTTGATTACCTCGTTTCACTTTTTATTAGAGTTAGAATTTTTTACACATTAAAATTTAAAAATAAAACTTGGACCGCTCAAACACCCACATATCGAAAATAAACTATTTCGTTTAACCTGCATTTTTACATGTATCGTACGTATCTATTACTTTGTTATAATAAATTTTACGTTTGTTTTTAACCTCATAACCCAACATTCCGTATGATGACTAACCCTGTATAAAGTTAAAAATAAACATTGTTATGATCATTTCTGGAACTGCAGAATTCATCTAAAACAGCACCAGTGTTGTAATTCTTCTCCCTCAGTTGCCACTTCATTTCGCTCCACAGAGAAAACCATTTTGCAGTTTTATTTTTAAAAAATTCGAAAGTTTAACGTTTCAACTACCAACGCGGCTAACTTTATCAAACACAATCCAAATCTTTAACTTTCAGAGCCACCTCTGGTGTAAATAATTTACAAACACACAGTGGATGTTTTAATATGTACCTACCTGTTTAAATTTCGCGGCTTTGTACTATCAGGAAGATGGCCTACGTCTCTCAAGGTTAAACATTTTGGCCACATCAAGAACAAAGGATTTTGAACATTGATCTAATAAAGGAGTGGATGGAGCCTTGTATACGTTTCCATACGCGAGCGAGTGTAATCAACATAAGAAAGAAATAGCTGTAGCGGTTATACATCAGTGGGGAAAGGACGGCTGACCACCTATCACGTGCTGGGTGGCAAGAAACGCTTCATTTGAACGGGAATTAATACGTTTTCTTGCGAATTTGTTCAAACAATCAATTGTAACAAACGTCTATTAATGAAAACTATATTTTTACAGTTTAAATTAAAATAATGTGTAATGTGAAACAACAAAAATCATGTTAAGTGGTGGAGATAGTCTTTTAATAAAATTGTATGTATACAGAATCTGCAATATATTACGAATTCACTTAGTACAATAATCTTCTACAAGTTAACTAATCTTGTGTATGTTCATTGGTAATTCTGAAATTTTTAGGATAAAAGTAATTAATTAAAGTTTCGATAAAAGTGACAGTATGCCTAATTAAGTTAAACATCTTAAATTGTGTGGAATTTTGTACTAAAATCTATTTTCTAAATCCATGTACAAATAACTAAAACAATAATAATCAATAGATATAAAATTCCCTTTTTTTGTAGCATTAATCAGTTTTTTCGTAACTCAGAATGTTTAGGGAATCTAACAAAATTTTTAAATTATTTACGAAATCCTTCGTCTGTGTATGTGATTATTACCGATGAAATGAAACAGGATTGCTTTCTTTTCACGTTCTATGCAATAATAAGCACAACACGATTTCACGATGTTTAACAAATAGTCCGATAAAATACAACTTAAGAAGACTGTAGACATTTAAATAAGGTACCTTGAGCCTAAAAATTGTAAATTTGTAAAAATACACCTTCAAACACCATGCGACAGCACGAAAGAAAGCTCCAAAAACCCAGTGCTCTGCAGTTTCGCGTCAATGTTTTGCCACCCAAAGAGCCCTATCTCTGTCCCACTGTGTTGACAACGCGCGTCTCTCTCTAAGTTACTTCCATATAATATTATTTCTATGATTTTGAACCTCATGTCATTACTGTATACGTTAGTTATACAGAGAGTTCATTAATGATCGAGAACCACGTGACCAGTTAATTATTTGTAACTAATAAATCGATTGGCATTATTGATTAATGATCAATTATTTTTACTAAATTGTTATTGTTTATCTGCCATTAGTGTCATTTACGATCAGTAGCGTCCTTGTAGTAATAATTCCCATTCTCGTTCTGTTTTTAGTGTTTTCTAATTGTTTACTTACATACAAATCAGTTCTTTTCAGAACTAACTACTTGAAATTAACAACTGTGTGGTACGTAATCAAATTTGGTAAAATTTTACAAAACGCAGGCACTGTTCGATTTCACACAAACTGTTTGCACAAAACTCTTCTAGAGCACCCCCTGATCACGTTCCTCACCTTCAAATGTAGTGCCACAAAAAATTGTTAAATTTTGCATTCCTTCACTCTTTAATATCAGCCGTTCCTAATATAACCTAACTTTTTACAGTCACCAACGCGCGGATGCGCGGAAGGGTAATGTCTGAGTTTTAATAGACACACGGGTTCTTCGCGCCCACAGAAGGTTAGAAACGTGTTCAGGGGGTGCTGCAGAAGAGTTCTGTGGAAATGGTTTGTGCGAAGGCGAATGGTGCGTTGTGTGAAGTTTCACACCAAATGTCTATATAAAATTAAGTACGTTTACTTTGACATTTTCAGGAAAACTTGTTGTTTAACAATGGTTTTCACACCCGAACAGGATGCTTTCATTCTGATGGCTCACTTTCGAAGTGGAACCCGAAACCCAGACGGAACCTGGTCTTATTCACTGCAGTCGTGTATTGACCAATTTACGGAAGCCTTTCCAGATGCCAATGTTGGGTATCAAACATTTGCAAATCATAAGGGGGTCCTTGTTCATCGTTTTGAGACTAAAAATTGTATTTGCAAAGGAAAGACAACTGGCAGAAAAACTGTTTTGACTGAAGAAGTTACAGAAGACATCCAGCATCAGTTAGAACAAAGTCCAAATAAATCTATACGAAAATTATCAGCACAGACAGGTAAAGATTGGTTGTCAGATTTTTTATTTTTTAAAGGCGTTAAATATTTTCATAAGAATTAAAGAGATTTTATGATACAGTTTAAAAGTTAAATTGTTGCAGGTCTTTCAGTCGGAAGTTGCCATAAAGCACTACAAAAAGTTCTGCACATGCACCCGTATAAAGTTTCAGTCGTCCATGAATTACTTCCACCGGATTTTAAGCGAAGAATAAATTATTGCCAATGGTTTAATAACAATTTAAATGATGATGCCTTATTAGACTTAACATTTTTCACTGATGAGGCATGGTTTCATTTGAGTGGATACGTGAATAGTCAAAATTATAGAACGTGGGCTACTGAGAATCCTCATATTTTTGTAGAAACTAGTTTGCATCCAATAAAAGTTGGAGTTTGGGTAGCCATTTCAAGAAGAAGAATTATAGGACCGATTTTTTTTCACGATACGGTGAATGCTGAAAGATATCGCACTAATATTCTACAACCCTTTTTCGAACAACTGCATGATGACGAATGCCAGTATGGTTACTTTCAGCAAGACGGAGCGACGGCACATACAGCAGGAAGCACACTTCGTTTCTTGCAGGAAGTTTATGACGATCGAATTATAAGTCAAGGACTGTGGCCCCCAAGATCGCCAGATCTCACCGCGCCGGATTTTTTTTTGTTTGGTCATTTGAAGAACAATGTTTTCAAAAATAGGTTGCATACCATTGATGAGCTGCAACAAGCAATAACCCATGAAATTGAAAATATAACTCCTTACACTCTTCAACGAGTATTTGATAATATGAAGAGTTAATATGTGTATTGCTAACGAAGGAAACCATTTTCAACATTTATTGTAAATACCTAAATAAAAACAATTTATGAAATGCTTTATTTTTTTATTCTTAACTCCTTTGTGACGCCAATGAATTTAGGGACATTAATCTGCACTATTGCCAATTGTGTATGTTTGGTTGCATACATTTTTGATCACGTGGTTCTCGATCATTTATGAACTCTCTGTATATCTATACCAGGGCCATGAAAGCGTCAGCTGTTCCCATAAGAAATACATGGGGAGCTTACGGAACGACATAAAGAGGTCACTAGCGTCTCTCAAGGTGCTCCGACCTTGAAGAACATTGTTTCTTTTTCATTTTAATTTTAATTTTTTGCTTGAATATAGATATTAATAATTTACAAAAAAGAAAAAAATCGCCAATGTCACTAGTACCAGCCATTTTTATTTTTGTGTACAATTACATATTAGTATTATACGAATGCTACGAAATATTTGAATCTTCGTGTTTCCCGGGAACACCCGTTTCGCAAATATTGCTGAAGTTTCGTTACTGATATACTGTGTCTATACTGTGAACGAGATCTAGATTATGCAATACGTTATACACGCAATTGTCATTCATGACCATTCTACATTTTTCAAGCTTCCGTTTTTGTAATGTTGCGATTTTTCAGTTTCGAATTTTTTTTATTTCTAGATTTTTTGACATTTCGATGTTTCGATTTTTCGTGTTCTTAGTTTCCCATTTTTCGATGTTTCGATTTTTTTTTAACTTAAAATTTTTCAAATTTTTTAATTTATAATTTTCCGACTTTACGCTTTTTGGATTTCGGGCTGATTCAATTTTTTAATCAATCTTTGGATGATTACAATTTTTAAATATTTTAGTTTTGGGGGTTTTCCATTTGTGATTCTTCAGTTTTCGACTTCTCTATTTTTTGATTTCTAGATTTCTCGATATTTCATCTTGCGATTCCTCAATTCTTCAATTTTTTAGCATATTTTCATTTTCACCGCACTTGTACGTACGGAGAAATCCTCCATTTCTCGATTTTTCAATTTCTCGGTTTTTCGCTTTTTCGATTTTCCCATGCCCCGATTTTCCAACTTTACGATTTTTTAATCCAATTCGGCTGTTCGATGTTTCGAATTTTTAAATATTAAATTTTTGCAATGTATATTTTTTCGATTTTCGCTTTTCGGATTTTGGTCTGTCTTCAATGGATGATTCGATTTTTTGTATTTTCAATTTTTGATATCCCGATTTCGGGGTTTTTCGATGTATGTACTGATTTTTTAATTTTTCGATGTCTTGGGTTTTCAATTTTTTAAATTTTAGATTTTTAGATTTCTCAGTTTCAAAATTTTTTTATTTTTCAATTTTCCAATTTTCGTTTTTGCGCCGTTTGCATTTTTCAACTTTTCATTTCCCGTTTAATTTTTCAAATTTTCCATTTCCCAACTTTTACATATCTCAGCTTTGGGATTTTATAATTTCTCCATGGAGGTAGAATTATCCTACCCCTATGAATTTCTCAATTTGTTAATTTTTCGATTTTGCACGGTTGTGATTTTTCTGTTTTTCGATTTTCCAACCTTTCGATGTTTCAGTTTCTCGATTATTTTTCAAATTTTCGGTTCCCATTTTTTTTTCTCATTTCTGTTCAAGCATTTTCGGTTTCTCGACAGTTTTTCGACAAAATTTTTGATTTGTTGAAATTTAGATTTTTTGATGTGTTTTTTCGGCTTTAAATTTTTTATATGTATCTTGAAATTTTAGTTTTTGCACGTTTTCAATCTTTAGACATTTCAGTTTTGAAATCAATCAATTTTGCGAAAAAATATTTTTCTGCATTTGTGTGGACCCTTTGGAATTTACACTCTTGTGGCACTGGTTTTTACTTTACCAAGGTTATCAGTAAACAAAAATATCAAAAAAAAAATCTTCAAAGAATCGGAATTTGTTGGGCTGTACTTCAGGGGCACGGGAAGTTCTTCTAGATAACCTTTACCCAATTTTTTATGCAAAAAGTCTTTTCTAATTTAAATTTAAATAAATCATCAAAAAAAATTAATCATATTTAATCATAACTTTTAACATCTCGAACATTGAAATGAATCGCATTTATGTGACGCTTTAAATGCGCTTTATTTCTAGTTTTGTAATTTTTTAATTTCTTAATTAAGTCTTAAGTTAATTTTTTTTAATTTTTCAACTTTTTAATTCCTAATTTTTCGATTTCCCGCTTTTAGATTTTGGGCTCTATCTGTTTTTTAATCTTTTGATGCTTAGATTTCTCGATTTTTGTCATTTTCCCGATTTCTCGGTTTTGCGTCTTCTCCATCTTTCAATATTTCGGTCGTTTAAATTTTAGGTTTTTAAATTTCTCGATTTCTCAATTTTTTTTTCAGTTTTTTAAATATTAGATTTTTCGATTATTCAAATCTTCAGTTTTATGATTTTTTGATGATTTAATTTCTCGATCTTTTTATTTTTCAATCTTTGGACGTTTCCATTTCTCGATTATTCAAATCTTCAGTTTTATGATTTTTTGATGATTTAATTTCTCGATTTTTTTATTTTTCAATCTTTGGACGTTTCCATTTCTCGATTTTTCAATTTTTCGATTTTTACGTCCCGAGCGTAAGCAAAGGAAGTATTGTAATCGAGTCCGTCGGCCGACTCTCTACTTGTACATTTTCTCGACCTTTCATGACCCCTATAGAGGACGAAGAAATAGGTCCCCGTTTCTGTCTGTCTGTCCGTCTGTCTGCCGTCCCGGATATTTATTAGACAGATAATCTTCGAAAGTACTGGACCGATTGTTGTCAAATTTTGTATTTATATTAGAAATATCATCTAGATGGTAAAACGCTAACCAAAATTTGTTTAATCATCCCCACCACTAAAGCAATGACGTCACTTCAAAATTGTACATAGTAAATGGGTTTTAAATAGTATAAGATAACATAGTCCTACACATGTAGTTTATGACTCCGAATTGAGTTTTTACTCGAAACGTCCAGATTTTTGGAAAAAAAATCAAAATTGTGTTGCACAATCAAATTGTCGTTGTTTTCTTGTTTAACCGAAGTGAAAGGAGACGCATCTCAAACTTTAAGATTTTTCGATTTTGGATTTTTCAATGTTTCAATTTTTAATTTTTTTAATTCCTGGATTTTCTTAATTTTGTTGATATTGCGATTCTTCAATCCAATTCGGTTTTTCGATGTTTCCATTTTTTTTTTAATTAAAAATTTTCAACTTTTTTCAACTTCTAATTTTCCGACTTTTCGCTTTTTGGATTTTGCGCTGCTTCTATTTTTTACTCAATCTTTGGATTTCCCGATTTCCCAATTTTTAAATAAGTTTGTATTTTAGTTTTGGGTTTTTTCAATTGTGATTCTTCAGTTTTTTGACTTCTCATTTTTTGATTTCTAGATTTCTCGATATTTCATCTGCGATTCCTCAATTCGTCAATTTTTCGAAATACATTTTTCCCGTTGGTTATCTGCATATTTTCATTTTGACCACAGTTGTACCGAGAAATCCTCTATTTCTCAATGTTTCAATTTTCGACTTTTTGCTTTTTCGATTTTTCAATCCAATTCAGCTTTTGGATGTCTCGAATTTTCAAAATTAAATTTTTAAAATTTTTATTTTTGCGATTTTCACTTTTCGAATTTTGGACTGTATCGATTTTTGATGATTCCATTTTTTGAATTCTCAATTTTGATATCCCGATTTCTCGGTTTTTCGACTTCTCGAGTTTTCAGCTTTTGTCTTGAGTTTTCAATATGTCGATTTTTTTAATTTAAAATTTTTAGACTTCTCTCTCTCGATTTCCAATTGTTCGATTTTTTTTAATATTTCTCAATTTTACGATTTCTGGATATTTTCATTTCTAGATTTTTCAATTTTTTGATTTCTCGGTTTCTCGATTTCGCAACTTTTTGACATGTTTTGGGATTTTTCAATTTCTCCTTGGAGGTACTCATCCTACCCCCATGAATTTCTCAATTTTTTAATTTTTCGATTTTGCACGGTTTTGATTTTTCGATTTTTCAACCCTTTCGATGTTTCCATTTCTCGATTTTTCAAATTTTCGGTTTCCAATTTTTTGTCATTTCTGTTTAGGCATTTTCGGTTCTCGAATTTTCAGTTTTTCGAGAAAATTTTTGATTTTTTGAAATTTTAATTTTTGCACGTTTTCAATTTTTAGACACTTCAGTTTTGAAATCAATCAATTTTGAGAAAAACATTTTTTGGACTTTACACTCCCGGGGCAATGGTTTTTACTTTACAGAGGTTATCAGAAAAAAATATAATTCTTCAAAGAATCGGAATTTGTTGGGCTGCACTTCAGGGGCGAGGGAAGTTCTATCGAGATAATGCCCAATTTTTGATGTAAAAATTCGTTATTGTTATTACCCAGTTTGGATAGAACCAAGTCTTTTCTAATTTAAATTTAAATAAATCAACAACAAAATTATTGAATCGTATTTAATGATAATACATTTTTTACATTCTGTGCTGTGGGTTAATATAATGCGAAAACCTAGTTCTACTTGGATATTTGCCACAGTCGTGCAACTTTATAATTTCGACCTTTCAAATGAATCGCATTTATGTGACGCTTTAAATGCGCCTGAATTTTAGCTTTGTATGGACATTTTTCGCATTCATACCACTTAATACTCCCTTCATCCAAATGATTAAACTTTACATGCTGCTTCAAACTCGAATTTCGTTTGCTCCTGTACGAACACTTTTCACATTCAAACCATTTAACTTCTGGTTCGTCCAAATGCCGCGCATTTTTGTGTATCTGTAACTTCGCCTTCTGTTTCGATTTAAACGGACACTCCTCACACTTATACCACGCGATACTTTCTTCATCCAAATGGCGCATATTTACATGAGTTCTTAAATTCGAACCATGTCTAGTACTGAACGGACACTTTTTGCATTCGTACCATTTCGCGCTCCTGTCGTCTAGATGCTGTGCGTTAATGTGAATTTTCAAACTGCTTTTCTCTTTGCTCCTAAAAGAACACACAGTGCAGTGGTGCCATTGGATTTCATCTTCATCCAAATGGTGTGCGTTTATGTGTCTTTTCAAATTCGGCTTTTGTGTGGCTTTATATGAGCATTGGTCACATTTGTACCACGTGAGGTCTTTTTCGTCCAAACGGTGCACCTTTATGTGGCGTGTCAAGGATTGCTTGTTTTTGGTTTGGTATGTGCAGTGTGCACATTGAAACCATCGTGCTAAAAAATTGTGGTTGTTTAAGTTGTGCTTGGACTTATATTTGCGCCGCCATTCGGTACATGTGGAAACGTCACTGGTGGGATCAGCCGGTGAAGGGATTTCTGGATTTTGTAAACAGGTTGCAGCGTGTTGAAACCATTTCATTGAAAAGTGGGTTCCGAAGCCGCAATTTTCGCAAATGTAGTTCTGAATGATAATTTTCGGTGAAGTTGGCGGATGTTCGCTTTTTCTGATGATGAGATGGCGGTCTTTGAAGTGTTGTTTGAAAAGGACTCCTAATTGTGTTTGGAAGTTGCAGTGATTGCAACGGTAAGGTTTGATGTGGGAGGTTTCGCAGTTGAAACATGGCACAAACATTTTGGTTCGCTTAATTTGTGATTATCTGCTACTAAAAACAGAAAAATTAGGTTTATGTTGATGTTCAACATAACCTTAAAAACTTGGCAACAATTCTCGTTCTTGGTGATTTCACCATTGAAACGTTACATAAGCAATTGAATTCACTTAAATTAACCTGTAATTATTTCGTAGCAAAGTATGGAAACATTGGCTTTTTCTTTTAAAGTGTTTTGAAGTCATGAGATTAAAACATAACCTCAAAAACTTGGCGTTTCATATATGCAACACACTATACGCGCAAGTACAAATATTGTAATGAAAAAAATTAACAGTTAATTCATACACATAAAAAATTTACGTACTATCTTCACCATTCAAATGAAACTTCTTCACATGAGTTTTTAAATTCGAACTATATCTAGTTTTGTGCGGACACTGTTGGCACTCGTACCATTTCGCGTCTTGGCCATCCGGATGCAGTACCTTCATGTGAATTTTCAAATTGCCTTTCTCTTTGCTCCTGAAAGAACACACAGTGCAGTGGTGCCACTTTATATCAGCTTCCTCCAAATGGCGCGCATTTATGTGTCTACTTAAAGTTGCGCGGTACTGGGTTTTGTATTGGCATTTTTCACAATAGTACCATTTGATCTCTTGTCCACTTGAGTGATGCGAATTCACATGTCTCTGTAAAACCCCCTCACGTTTTGTTTTAAATGGACACTCCATGCACTGATACCACGTGATACTTTCACTATTCAAATGCTGGGTCATCACGTGCCTCCTTAAGTTCGAACAGTCTCTAGACTTGTATGGACAGTATTGGCATTCGTACCACTTGGGGTCCTTTTCATCCCATTGACAATGCCGCACTTTCATGTGTCGATTTAAAGAAGAGCGGTATTTGGTTTTGTATTGACATTTTTCACAATCATACCACTTGATATCTTTTAATGTGCATTCACACTGACGCCTCCGTTGTTCTGTTGAATGTGTAAGAGTTTTGTGCTCTTGTTGGTATTTGCACTCGCATTGATCACGTTTATGCCACTTAAAATTTTGACCGGGGTTGTTCAACGGTTGGAAATTTCCCCTATTGTTCGAACACGTTATTGTGTGATGTAAGCATTTAAGCGAAAAATGCGTCTCAAAACCGCACTTTCCACAAACGTACTTTTGATTATTATAATGCACAACTAAATCGTCGTCGTTTTCTTGTTTAATTCCGTGACGGTCTTTAATATGTCGCTTGAAAAGCAACGTTAGTTCGGTTTGAAAATCGCAGTCTTTGCAATGGTAAGAATCAAGGGGGTTTTCACATTTAAAAGATACCAAAGGTGACTGATGACGGGAAATGTGGTTTGTTATGAGAGAAAACGACGTTGTAATGTATGGGCAAATTTTACAATGGTGGACTTTTAGCACAGAGGGCTTCGTGTGGACCGTGAAGGGTTCGGAACATTGCAAAGTCACCATTTTAATTTTTATATTTTTTTCCTTTTAGTTCCACTAAAAACAATAATAAACGAATTAATTTCAACATAACCTCAAAATGCTGGTACTTTACTTGTTTACTATTGGTAGTAAATTTATGACAGATCGAGATTGTAGGTGCGTTTTTTCGTCAGCGAGTAGTTCTACTGCTACGCGACAAAGAAATCTGAGTAATAAAACGATGAGTGCATTATTTCCGCATTCCTAATAACCTAATAAAGTACTTTACGACTATTTCAGAAAACTAGTTATTTTTAGGAAGATTATTACTGTTGTGGTGGCATAACTGTTTCGATTTTTTTTATAAATTGTGATACACGGAAATGACTTCGTAAAGTTGAAACATTCATAGCAGGAGTTACATTTTCATAATAATTTTTGCAATTAGATTAGTTCGTTTAGAAGTTTCTGGTAAGTAAATGGGATTATTATAATGAATAAATAATACAAACAAATTGTTATTATTACTTGTTGTTTTAATACATTAGACGCTTATAGTCTATTGCATACGTTTCTCGAAAAATCGTTGGTAATAAATTCAGTGAGGCATCTTTGCGCCTTAATTCCTCTGCATAAATTGACATTTTGAACAAAGGTCGTAGGAAAAAATTGTTATGGTTTTATGGTTTATTTACATAATTTACCGATTTACAATGAATGTTTTTTATACATAGTACAAGTTCTTGATATTATTTATTTTTATTACAATTAATAATTGTGTGTTGTCTTTAATTTTCAACAAGAACATTTTGTCCCTTATTATCTAACATGTTTTAATATAATGAAAAACACCATTCCACATCGCAGGACGTTACAGGAGAATGTTGAAGGGTCCCCAGTCGTCGCCCGCAAAATCGGTTTCAGTGAGAATTATTTTTTGTAACTATGCAACCCAAAGTACCGATCCACGGCAGGTAGCGACCCAAGAGAGGAGAGCTTATGGTCACTGTAGGGAGTCAGTCATAAAATGCAAATCGGTAAACAACACCAGATAAGCTTATTTATTTTCAAATGAAGGGTACAGGGAAATAACCATCGAAATCCATTTGTATGTATGTTTTGAAAGAAATTGAGTTGAAAGTTTAAAATGCTGCGGAAAATAGATTGAGAAACCCACAAGGTTCAGTCTAACACAAATTTTTATTTTCTTTATAATGTTTTAAAAATATATAAAACTAGCTGACCCCGTGAACTTCGTTTCACCTACAATTTAATTTTGAAACTGCAAAACCGAATGCTTTGAAATCTTGCAAATGTTTTAAACATATGATAAGCATAATAAATTTTTATTCAAAATATATTTCCTTCCTCCAAAAAATTGATGACGTCAGCCCAAAATTTTGCCAAATGAATCCTATCTAAAATGTCCAAAATAATAATAATAATAATAATAATTTATTTACGGAATATAACTCCACTTTACAAATAAAGGAAAAAAAAACAGTGTTTCTTGACTCCACGATACAGTACAATATTAATACAAATTAAACAAATAAAAAGTTGAAAATGAAACTAAATAAGATTACATATTATAATAATAATAAACCGACACATCATTTTTAAATTTCAGCCTACTAGAATCAAAGATTGAGATTCGAATGCGGCAGGAATATTCATTAGCTTCTTCCATCATTCTTCTTAACGGATGATTTTGAGCCAAAAGTGTTGTTGACGTTGATATTCTAAATATGTTTCGACTTCTTGTTGTCCGACTGTCAACTGCAGGGATAAGAAAAGACAATCTGTCCAACAGACTTGGATTGTCAATATGGCCATTAATAATGTCATGAAGAACACAGGCATCAGAAATTTTCCAACGGATAATAAGAGAGTGAATTTGAAACTTATCCATAATCCATCGGTAATCACCCTTAATATGAGAATGACCCATTTTAAATTCCACAGTGCGAAGAAATTTATTTTGTACTCTTTCAAGTCTCTCATAGTCGATTTTATAAAAAGGAAACCAAACAGAAGAGCAATAATCAAAATGCGATCGAACAAGAGAGCAGTAAAGAGATTTTAGGGCCAATGGAGACAGATCTTTACAATGACGCCAAATGAAACCCCACATACTCATGGCTTTATTGTAAATATGGTTATAATGGCTCTTAAATGTAAGGGTCGTATCAAAAATCACCCCCAAATCTTTTATTTCTAAAACTCGTGAGACGGAGACATTGTCTAATTGGTAATCAAAACTGATATGCGATTTGGTTTTATAAAATGATATTACATAGCATTTCTTAATGTTTAAATGAAGACAGTTATTTTGACACCAGTTAAATAATGCAACTAAGTCCAATTGAAGTTGTTTAGCGTCTTGAATGGACCGTATAGTTTTAAATAGTTTCAGGTCATCTGCATACAGTAAATAATTTGAAAAATGGAAACAGTAAGTTAAGTCATTAATAAATAAAAAAAGAATGGGTCCACAATGTGTACCTTGTGGAACACCAGAAGATACGCAAAATGGGGCCGAAATATAATTATAAATTCGTACCTGTTGTTTTCTGTCAACAAGAAAAGAAGATAGCCATTTAATCGTACCTTCTCTAAAACCTAACTTATGTAGCTTTACAATTAGCAATCGATGATTAACCCGATCAAAAGCTTTTGAAAAATCTGTATAAACAGAATCTACTTGCGATCGATTGGCAAATGCTTCATTTAAAAATGATTTGTATTCAAGAAGGTTAGACAATGTTGACCTGTTAGAGAAAAAACCATGCTGACTACTTGAGATAATAGATGCAGATGCCCATCGGAGCTGAATGGATACAATAGCATCAAGTAATTTGGGAATTGCAGATTGGTTGCAGACCCCCCTATAATTGTCCACGTTGTTACGTTGTCCAGATTTGAAGATGGGAATTACATAACTGTTCTTCCATAATTGAGGAAAGACGCCTTCACTGAGTGACGTTTGAAATAAGATAAATAAAGGTAAGCAAAGAGAGAATTTACAGTTTTTTAGAACAATGCTGGGAACACCATCAGGGCCAGGATTACACGATGACTTCAACAAGGAAATATGATTAAAAACATCTGATAAACTAATATATAAGCCAGAATCATTCACTTGAGACGATGAATCAAAAAAACAAGCAAAATTCCTCAAGTCATCAACTGCGTAAACAGAAGAAAAATATTGTGCAAAAAGATTAGCCACTTCATCCCCACCTTTTACAGAGTGCTGATCAAGTGTCATTTCAGCAGGAATACTGCTGTCACTCTTCTTTTTGTCACGAACAAATTTCCAGAAAAATTTGGGATTATTAAAAATACTAACATTAACGTTAGATATATACGCAGCATACAGTTGTTCACATAACTGTTTACATCGCGATCTCAAGGATTTAAAATAAATATAATCTTCAAACCTGCTTGATTTTTTATAGATAGAGTGCGCTATGTGTTTATTGCGACAAAGATCTTTCAATTCTTTATCGAACCATACCGGATAATTATTACGAGCATTATGCCTTACTATTTTATGTGGAATAAATTGTTCAAACCCGTTAAAAACTATGTCATAAAAAACTGCCACTTTTTCATCCAAATTAAGACCAAGAAAATAATTATCCCAATTAATCGATGCATAAAATTCATTTAAAGAAATATAGTCACCATTATTAAAGTCAAAAATTTGAACTTCAGAGTGAAGCGAAGATGAAGAGGTGCAGGAAATATACCATGAATACGGAGAGTGATGAAGACTTTGAGGAAAAATAGGATCTACAGCAGGCAAAACTGCAAGTGCAACAATATTTGTAAAAATAAGATCAAGAAAAACGTTTCTGCCATTGGGAAATAAATTAACTTGTTTAAGATTCATAAATGCTGAAGTTGAGTTAATAACGTCATAATATTCATGTTTACTAGTCGATGAATCAAAAAGAATATCATTACCATTCCAGACGAGATGTGGTAAATGAAAATCACCGGCGATGACATAAGATGAATCAGGAAAACGCTAAAATAGGATGAGACTCTACTATACTTGTGATTAATCATTCCATTCATATTTTTTAGTTTTGCTTATAGGGAGTGTCTCAAAAAAATTAATCACTGAGTCAATTTATTTTATTGATTGAATCAAGTATTGCAAAAATGAATTTTGAAATATTGCAGACGTTTTGAAGTTACTGTTTGACATGGTAGGTTTTTAATGAAAATATATCTGTTTATCAAGCCCAAAAACTTGATGACGTCATCTCAAGATTTTGCCGAATAAATCCTATCTAAAATGTGCAAAATATCATCAGTACCTATATTTTCGTAAATTTATCATTGCATTCATATTTTTTAGATTTGCTTTTACAGTGACAAAAAATTGTATGGATCAGTCAATTTATTTTAGAAAATAACTCGAGAGTTGCAGAACTGACATAATTAATATAATTCATAATGTTTAAATATGATAACTATTGATATGTGATAATTAAACCGAAAACCATTTTCCTAAGAACACGAGGTTAGCAAAAACAAATTAGTTTGTTTAAACATTGTTAAATTAACCCCGAACATGTACAATTTCTGAGCGAAAATATGAAAAATAATTTTTGCAATCTCATCGTGACGTATACGATGACGCCACTGTCACGTGACCCACCTGATAAAAGGTCACATTTTTGGTGGCAGCAACATCAGAGTCCGTTTTGGCTTAAAAGTAGGGCTCTTTTCACGAATTTCTAATTTATATATTTAAATATTAGTGAAAATGTGTTGTATTAGTACTGTGAACACGAACGAAAATGGATATTTTTTCGAAAAGGACCGAAAACAGGGTAAGTTCGAGTTCAGTTTTAATTTATCGGATGCTGTGATTGGTTCACTCGACAATATTTAAATTTTGGGAAAATTTTCGAAACGATTGAAATCGGTTGATCAAAGCTATACATTTTCACGACATAAATAAATAAATTTTAAACATAATTAATATCATTTATAATGTTTAAATATGAGAAGCATCAATGTATGATAACTAAACCGAAACCCGTTGTCCTACAAGCCCGAAATTATTAAAAACAAATCAATTTGTTTAAACAATGTTAAATTATCCCCGAAAATGTGCATTTTCCCGGCCAAAATATGAAAAATAAATTTTGCAATCTCATCGTGACGTACGATGACGTCAATGTCACCTGAGCTACTTGTGTAAAGGTCACGTGTTTCGGTCCTTTGTGTTCAGTTTTAATTTCTGTTTGATGGCGGCAAGATCGTCGCTTCATTTCGGCGTAAAAGTGGAGCGTGTTAGCGAATTTCTAGTTTATTATTAATACGTATTACGGAAAATATGTTGTGTTAGTGCTGTGAACACGAACGAAAATGGATATTTTTCCGAAAAGGACCGAAAACAGGGTAAGTACGACTTCAGTTTTAATTTATCGGATTCCGTGATTCGTTTGGTCGAGAATGTTTACATTTTGGATAAATTTTCGAAACGATTGAAGTTGGTGGGTCAAAGCTATACATTTTCGCGATATAATTAAATAAAATTTAAACATAATTAATACAATTCATAATGTTCAAATATGATAACTATCAATATATGATAATTAAACCGAAACCCATTTTCCTAAGAACACGAGGTTAGTAAAAACAAATTAGTTTGTTTAAACGTTGTTAAATTAACCCCGAAAATGTACAATTTCTGATCTAAAATATGAAAAATAATTTTTGCAATCTCATCGTGACGTACGATGATGTCACTGTCACGTCAGCTACCTGATAAAAGGTCACATTTTCGATCCTTTCTGTTCAGTTTTGATTCCTGTCTGGTAGCAGCAACATTGGAGCTTCGTTTTGGGTTAAAAGTAGCACGTGTTCGCGAATTTCTAATTTATTGTTAATAAATATTAGCGAAAATGTTTTGTGTCAAGTGCTATGAACACGAAGGAAAGTGGATATTTTTCCAAAAATGCCCGATTTTTTTTTAAATATGTTGTTAATAACATGCATTCAGGACTGATAAAGTACGCCTTTAGAATATACAAAGTACTGCGTTCATAACTCACAAAATACCGTATGCATCATTTTTAAACTACGGCGTCCAAATTTACAAAATACGGTGTCCTTCACCCATGCTATCAAACCCTAGTCCTCTCTTTTAATGGCAAGACGCACTCCAGACCTCCTCGTATTGTTTGGTTCTTGCTGGGCAACAGCAACGAGCGAGCAAAGTCATCGCTCTTTGGTGGCAAACGTGGAGAAATTTGTATATTGTAACTTTTGTAATTGAAGCATTTTGTACTGTATATTGTATGTGTTACTAACTTAACTCGGGTCTTGCCAATTTAGCTCCAGTGGTGCAAATGCTTTGTTTTCATGGTGCACTTGCTTGGGTTTTAATTTTGCAACAGTGCATTCTTTGGTTCCGAGAGTGAATTCTCCATGTCGTCAGACGCTCTGGCCTGGGGGGCTTCTGTGGGCCCTTAGACGCTGGGTCAACATCCTAAACGGATGATTGTATTTCCATTGTATTGTACTGTATAACGTTCTATCCCTCATTAACAAATCCTAGCCCTCTCCTTTCCTAGCGAGATCTGCTCCAGACCTTCCCGTGGTTCTTGCTGAGCATCAACTATCGAGGACAGAAAATTCAAATTCAAAACCGGCAAATTTTCACAAAAATCATGAAACTCGCTCGTTGGAGGCCAACGTGGAGCAAAATAGACTTTTGTAACTCAACTACCTTTGTTGACTTTATATTCTTAAGGAAACAAAAATATATTACATTTAATTTATTATTTATAAGGACAAATAGTCATTTGCCACACCGATGCTCATTTTTAGATTAAATGTTCACAAAACGCGTAGATGTTCAATTTGTGTCCGGGGAGACACAATGTTTACAAGTAGGTACGCAGTATGTACATAGAGTAAATGCTCAGGTATATAAGAGTAATAATGAAGTAGGTACTTCGTACTTCGAATATGAGTATCTACTCAGTTTTATTCATACCATCCAATGTCTCGCTTCAATGTTTGACTATTATGTTGATTATGAGCACAACGCTAATCAACTTCGGTATCCGAATTACCCATGAAATAAATCATTGCGATTTGCACCTGAGGTAGTTCGTCGCACATTTGATTGACTTCGTGGACCTATGTCAGCTTGTCGTCTTCTCGGCATTGTAATGAACTTCATAAAACGACGCAGAATTATTTTCACAGTCAATCAAATCTGTAAATTTTGTCTTGAGAATTTTAAAATACATATTGAAAACTTCAAAGTAAATCCTCGAATAACGGTAAAGTTTGAGGTTTTGTCGAAACCAACAAAGTGAACATAGGTAAATAGAATGGCAGTTCAAAATTAATAATAAACTTTCGCAATGTGTAACTAATTTCACTTTAACCAAGACTTTTCTTAAAATAAACGACGTTTTTTTAACGAAAAAACAAAGAACGATTTGAAATGCAATATACTTTTCACAATCGCACGGAAGAAATAGTTTTGTATGACACGTCAGTTAGACGACAGGTCCGTCAGGAACGCCAACTATTCAGATTAATTCGAAGTGGCGATTCCCATGCAAAATTTTTAAATGTTTTTTATCTTTTAGCCGTCTTATTTTTTATAAATTTTCTTACATATAAACCTTGTCCTGACAATAAGGAACATGTAAAAAAAAGAATCGTCCAATTCGGTGCAGTCGTTCTGAAGTTATGAGCGTACATACATTTCGGCGATTCATTTTTATTAATATAGACAGATAGATAGATTTTAACATAGTCATAATTATACATTTTTTTTTAGTTATTTATATCAACAAACTATGTATATTATTGTCTAATTTTCATTTAATGGCATTTTTGTTTATTAATTTGTACGTACCTTTTCTAAATTTTGTACTTATGTTTTTTATTATTATAAAATGTGAAAGAAAATGACTTATGTTCGAGTTTATGCGGCATATTTTACCCGTTTTTTAAGACATATATTAATGCATATGTTTTGCCTTTAGTGTATATCTGCCTCTAATCTAATAAATTTTCTAAAAAAATATTGTAAATTTTGAGAAAACGCACTTAAAATCATTTTCCTTTGTATTTATTAGTAACAAAAGCGAGCTCACCAACGCGTAAAAAAATTCCAATGTGTTATTTACATTTATTTTTACGTTTTCAATAGCACCAACAAGTATTTAAAACAACGTGTATTGTAATAATTTGTTTGTATCATTTATTCATTATTATAATCCTATTTATTTATCAGAAACTTCTAAAGGAAATAAAATCTAATTGACTAGAAATAACGGCAAAGTTGTGTTAGGCTCATTTGGCAAACGTTGTAAATTATCTTAATGCTTACTATGAGATTCTTACATTTTTTTTCGTCGCTCTCTATCGAATGGTAGATTTACCAACAGTATTGTTGCCGTTAAGCGGGTTGCTTATGCGCGCGATTGGGGTCCAAGATATTCGCCGGCGTTTGACGGCCAAATGTTGGTGCGCCATTTCTTATTCGCCGGCCTTCGGCCTGTCGCTCCAAACAATAGGATGGGTCTGTCTGTATTATTTAATCAATGCTCATTCTACAATATAGTTATTGTAAATAAGTGAAACGAATGCCGCTAGAAGGAACGTTCTGTTCAATAACTTTAATTAAAATATCACTGCTCAAAATTATGTTTATCAAGCGCATGTAAAAATATGTTTGTTGAGCACCAATAAATGCCACAGCCGAGATGGTGTTCGAAACTACATTATTTGAATGATTTTTGATTACACATGTTTTGTCGTAATATTAACAAACGTGTATAGTGCATAGTAATAAATCTAAAAAAAATAACTTACGGCATGACCGGGACCACCTGCACTTTGTTTCGTTCACAGAACACTTACTACTTTTGTTTATTTCACCTTCACGTGTCACCGCTAGGGATATTTTACCTCAGTGCTGACCAGCCCATTATTGTCTACTCTTGTTACGACTCTGTATTAAAATAAATTACAATAAAAAAGCTTAAAATAAGTCTTCACAATAATCAGAAAAAAAATCCAACAATAACGCAAAATCCGAAGTACTGCCACCTTGATCGCGATACAGTCTCCCAAAAGTCCTTAGAAAGTCGGTAATCAGTTTCAACGTCTCCTGCAACAGTTGGCTATTCACAAACACCTTTTCAACAGTAACACCAACCTGATCCCAGTTAGTCCTAAAAATCCCCGTACACTGGGATTCGAAAACTTCGCTACTCAACAAGTTGTGTTTAATTAAATAAGCACAGAACTTTGCGAAAGCATCCCAGGTGGCTTTGCGATCACGCGACTGTGCAAAAAACGCCACGTTGCGCGGACACAGCAAAGACTTGAATAAATCATCACAGCCATTGTAGTATAACCTCCAAATGTCGCAAGACTTTGACAGGACATCATTAGAGAGCAAAGTCCAATCGTGTGCGACTAAAAATCCCTAGATTAACAGAAAAAAAAAACATCGACGACATCACACTTACGTAGTAAAAGCATCAAATCGAGGATCTGCGTGCATATCGTCGCCAAAATACACTGATTAAAGTCACTTCTCTCATTTATACTCCTGGAAGTATCGTCCAGAAGTGAAACTAAGACCTCCTGCGATAATGGATTATTTTCAATTACACCAACTGTTAAAACCTGGAAACTTTATAATTATTACGAAAATTCTGTTCATTGGACAAACCCTGTATTTTTCGAGCAAATGGGCAGCACTGGTCACATTTTCATTGTGTTCCATGGGAGTGCCACCAGGTGGCAACATGAAAATTGGCTTTCGTGGTTTTTTACCGTCTTGGTTTGTGATTTTTTGAATCTCGTCATTAAAATCTTTCGTAAAAACAACTAAAAATATAAAATTTAAGTGACTGAAGGTTAAAGTTGGCACCACTGACCCAAAGTCACGTGACTCTCAATCCACTGTTTGACACGTTCTAGGCATGTTTTCTTGGTAATTCCCACACACACTTGTATAGTTTGTGGTAAAACGTCTAAAGAAACCAAAGATTCGATAGCCTTTTGAATTTTCGAGTCGGTGATTGTTTCCATTTCGCTGTCACAAGCTTTTTGAAGTTCTTCCAAGCAAGTGACAGCTAACTCATTAGCCGTTGTTTTCATGGCAGTCTACGATTTTCGACAATTTTACAACTTGAAACTTAACCTCACTTCTTACCTTCTGGGTTTCTATATCTTCATTCTTTTTGAATTGTATGCAAGATTTGAACTTTTCGGAAGCAATTTTTTTATGTTTGGGGACCAAAGTGTGGCACACGTATTTTACGCAAGTCGACGCCACTCTTTCGCTTACAAATTCGACTGTTTTTCGAAGCGAAGTTGGTTGTCCGTTAAAGAAGGCCTCTTCTAGTTGTTGCTAATAAAAAACGGATGAGTGACTACCTAATATTAAAACTACGCAACTAACCTCCAATTTTTTCCTAGCTACTTCATCAGGTGATTGCAAGGCTGTAACCGGTGTAATGTGCTTGATTTTAATGGAATGACTGGTTGAAGACGATGATAAAAGTTTCTTGATTTCATCCAAATATGGGCAACAGAAGTAAAGTATATCTTGATCGACGATCTCCAGTTGGTCGAGGTAGAATTTTGGGTTCGCATTAGTCGTGTCATCGAAATTTGGTGTTTGTGTGCAGAAATGGAGGAAGTTATTATCAGGTAAGTGTGGAAGCTCGAATAACCAACCAAGACAGAATTTTATGAGAAAGATGTTGGGGTCCGGGCCCCAATCGAAGTTTCGATAGATCCAGAAAAGAGTTGTGTGGACTTGTGCGTAATAAGGTAGTTTGAGCGTTATGTAATCTAACATAGAAAGGTATTTTATTAACCAAGGGACACACAGTATCACGGACTTGCGTCTGATAGAGTTTTCGAGGAGAGTTTTCACGTCGAAGGTTGGTCGAATCTGTAGAAAAATTGACTGTGAATATGTTGACTATAACAAGACACGTAGATAATAATTGTTCGCAACACAATTTCTAAAAACAATCTTTGCTAACTGATTTGGAAAGTACAAAAAGTTTAACCGCGGCGTAAATAAAGTCCGGACACCACTTTTAAGTTCACTGAATGTTGTTAATAGCTCCGACACGAGAGTCAAGAGCATAAGATACTCTTGCACTTGTGATGTATGAAATCGTGTTGAATTTCACTCTAGACATCTAGATTTTTGAAAAAAAAAAAAAAAAAATCAAATTGTATAATATTTTGCAATTTAACTTTGAAACTGCAAAACCGAGACCCGATTTATAGAAAGCGAAGTTAAAGTTAATTCTCGATTAACTTTTAACTGAGGTCCGTTGCGAGGCAACGCGCATATTTTAACCAATCACGGGCTCATATTCCACATTTTAATTCTCTGTTAAACTAATCGAGGATTAAATATTTAACTCGCTGTTCTATAAACCGGCCCCGAATGCTCTAAAATTCTGCAAATGTTTTAAGATTATCGTAATGATGGTAAATCGTTAATTAAAATTTATTCGTTTATCCCATCCCAAAAAGGTGATGACGTCATTTCCAAATTTTATCACTAGACAGCGGATTTCTGTCGGGCTACGTCACGATTTTAGTGGGGACGCGCTGCATCGCCGGGACTCAGTAGCGGGTGATAGGTAATCACTGAATTTAATTGTCACTTGATTCCATAAATACACTTAACGATTTATTAATCAAACGGCTAAGTAAATGAGAACTGGAATTAACAGCAGAGTGCAACGAAGCAGCGTTATTCTAATCTCAAATAAACGAAGTGCAGCCGGTAACTGCAATGAATTCCCATCCCGTACGAGCCGTACCGAGTTTGGCCTTGTCTAGCCCGACAGAAATCCGCTCTCTATTTATCACATAAATCTTAGCAAAAAATTAATGAATGAGTGAATTTATTTTATTGATTAATAAGAACTTATAAAACCGAATGCTTTGAAATCTTGCAGACATTTTAAAGTTGTCGTAAGCATGGTAAATTTGTAATCGAAATATCTGTTTATCTTCTCCAAGAAATTGAGGACGTCATTTCAAAATTTTGACAATTAAATTCTATCGAAAATATGCAAAATATGATAAGTCTATACTGTGATTTATCGTTCCAATCATATTTTTTAGAACTGCTTATACGGGGTGACTCAAAAAAAATCAATGTGTTAATTTACTTTATTTATTAAATCAGGAACTGCAAAAGCGAATGCTTTGAAATCATGCAGACGTTTTAAGGTTATCGTAAGCATGGTAAAGTTGTAATCAAAATGTCAAAATGCATCTGCTTATCCCCTCCAAAAAATTGATGACGTCATCTCAAAATTTTGTCGAATAAATTCTATCGAAAATGTGGCAAAATATGACCACACTTGTGTACATGATCGTTTTTCGGGTTGGAACCGTGTAAATTGAGTTTTTGGGCTCAACGTCTCGCACAGTTTCGTAAGTGGCATCTTCAGGAGCAGGGTTAAGAATAAGGCAAAAGAGCACGGTAACTCCGTATGTCAACCATACCAGAGGCGAAAAGAGTGGTATGGTTGACCTACTGAGTTACCGTGCTCTTTTGCCTTAGTCTTAACCCTGCTCCTGAAGATGCCACTTACGACAGTGTGCGAAACGTTGAGCCCAAAAACTCAATTTACACGGTTCCAACCCGGAAAACGATCATGTATTGATTCCGACCGTGGAAGCCTCCGAAATTATTTCACTACACTTGTGTTTTATCATTGAATTTATATATTTTCATTGCATTACAAACTCAATTTTATGGAGGAACATATTGAAAGAACAACAATTGTTACCGCATATAGTGTTAATTCGCACGTTACCTCGCCTTGTTGCTCTGTTTTGTTGTTTATTTCTAACAATTTTTTAAACAAAATTTAATTATCTTTAATTTTGGGGTAACGTTTGTGCTCCAAAAAGTAACGTCACAGACTAACGATGACCTGCACGTCTACTATCAGTAATCGTCCTATATCTTTTTATTTTGATGTTCATATTCATTATGGCCATTTTTGAAAATTTGTTCTATACAGATGTATACAAAGTTACTTATGTTATATTTTCGTTTTATGTCATTAATTAAATTATTTAGAATAAAATCACTACATAATGTTTTATATTTATCTCGTCGGTAACTTGGTTATATGCCGTTATTTAACAGAATATATAGGATATGGAATATACCTAACGTTTATCCCCACAACACTGAAAACACAAAATATTTGCCGACTCGTTTCGCCAACCACGTTGGCATTATCTTGGCAAAACTAAACTGAGTTTATATGCATGTACTTATTATTATAGCACACCGAGTGATCAAAAAGATTCCAGGTTTCATCTCAACCAGTTTATCAAAATGACTTTAAAACTAGTAACTATACAGAAATTACGATAAAGGATTTACAAAACGATTTTTTGGAAGGACCATATAACCAATCGTGGCAGTTCGGTTTTTTCGGAAATGAAGTTAACTTACGTTACTCGAATCGGACCGTCAAAGTCTTCATTATTAGTTCTTCATCAAAACAATAACAACATTTTGTAGTAAATTTGATTTTGAGTCTATACTTGATCGACAAGATTACGCAAAAATTCGTTGTCGTCTTAACGTTTATTGGTTATTAAAATTTTTGATAGCCTAACAAAAATACGTTAAGAGGGAAATAAACTTGTTTGGGTTGTTTTTGGACTAAAGTGTCGTATCCAAATTTGAATAATTTGAATAAAAAAAAATCAAATAAAGAAAATCGTTAAACATAGGCAACCATGTGCAAGTTTAGTTCTTTTCTGTTAGTTGGTAGCTCTCTTAGGGGTATCTGGTGAGAGGGTTGGTAATGAAGTTCACTTGTTTGCTAGAGGGTAGGTGACGCGTCACTGTCGTTTGTTTTGGTGTGAGTGAAAGGACGCGGTAAGGAAGCTAGATTAAGTTAGTTGGTTTGGTAGTTAGCAAAAAGGAGGAAGCCTTTGTTTAACGACAATTAATCATCGTAAGGACGACGACGCCACAACTGTTAAGTTTCCCCAACACGCGTAGCTAATTCTTGCGTTCTTTCCAATTGGAAATATGCCAATTTTCAACCGACGCCAACACGTAGTGTAAATTTGTTTTATTGTTTGTGAATTCACAGTTCATGTTAGGATTTTAATCGTTAACTAGTTCTAACACAATTTAACGGTCCTGAGATTGTTCAGATAAAGCACTTACTAGGAGATTTCATGAAATTCACTTAGTCAGGATTTATCCTTTGTTTATTAAGTTATAAATAAGGTTTTTCGATGCTTATACTGAAGTGTTACATTATAACACTTCTTAATTCTTCACACAAGATTGCTAATAGTTCATTTACGGCAGTAAAATTAACCTAACATTGTCCCACTCTGGACCGTGAAAGTGCGGTAGAATTCATAATATCGTGGACCGAGAGGGTCGGGGGAATTAAATGTTTCCCTTATGGAGTTATCATCACGAGACTGAATGGCGAATTTAAACGTTGTTTATTGCTTTTTTTGAAACTTTAACACTTGTTCAGTTGTAGTTTAACATCAGAGTCATAGAAAGTGAACATTTAAATGTAATTGAGGTAAGTAACACAGAAGCGGAGTGCGCGGTTCCTAGTCGAGCTGGCGGTCTATTCGGATCTTAAATAGAAGTCAGCGGAGCGGTCGGGATGACGTGACGCTGTCACCTTGTCTATAGCCGTGATGTCCAACCACGAGTTTTCGACCGTAACGGCTTGTTAAGGCGGCATGTGGTTGCCGATAGAGTAGAATCACCGTCGTGGTGAGAGAATAGCCACAACCGGGAGGCCCAAACTCCGCTGGTGTTACAACCGCCCCTATGGGTAATTTTGCTGTCCTCTAGAATGAAATTGACATAGTTCGATCGCCACACTCTTATAGCGCTCTGGTGCCGCTCCCACTCCATAGAGTTTTATTAAAGTTTTATTTTCTTGTTGACTGTCATAACTTTAATATTGTTAAATATATTTTGTGTTTTATTTACTGATACTTTTCCAACCTTGGGGTCCACCACTTGCATCTGAACGCAAAAAACACACTGTATGGTTCTACTTTGTTAGACGATCACAACCAAGGCGAAATTTTTGAATTCTTGAATTTTTCGCGGGCTTTCAATTTTTTTTTTCACATGTCAATTTAAGGCGGGATGTTTGGGTTATCACAAAAGAGTCAACAATGTAGACGAAAATTAGCACAGCAATAGGTTAAGAGTTTAAAAGCTAACGAGACATGTTTTCTGAAACACAGCCAACTGCGATCACGAATTATGTTGCTCACCCAATACATTTTGAAATTTCTTTTGAAACTATTCGCAAGTGTGTGTTGTTGGATGGAAACATGGTCATCATACTTCCATAGTTGCAAACTGCTGCTTATATTTTGTCTTTTTGTTTTAATATGTGTAGACTTCTTTTCACAACATGAAACTTTAAATATGTATAAGGAAATACCGATTTTGCAATTAGGCTCCGCCCAATAATTGCAAAACCCATTTTTTTTGTAAAAATGTACCATTTTAACCATGTTCTAAGTTTCTTGTTGTGAAAAGAGGGCTAGCCCCGCCCACCCGCCCCATCTCAATTCTGATGATTTTTTTTATTCGTCGTAAGCCGAGAGGCGGAACTTAATTGTAAAATCCTTATTTTTCTAAGAGAAATTACCACGTAAGATTTAATTTAACAGAAAAATGTATTCACTTATACGAAAAAATGACTCTTAAAAACAATTTCGATGTGATTACTAACTTGGAAAAGACCTGAACGTGCTCGCTGCCCTCGCATTTTGAGTATGTGTTCTTTAAAATTTGTTTGAGTACAGTGTTATTTAAAGAATACAATATATATTAAGAAAAAAGTCAAACATTAAGCGCCACCCATACCTGCCCTGATCTAAATAGTAATGAAA